CAAGTTCATCCAGGGTGAGCCTGTGATTATCGATTGTGAGAGCTCAGCCACCCCAAGGCGCTGAACAAGGGCATAGGGGTTAGAGGGAAGCTCCGCCTCTGAGCCGGGGTCTCTCTCTGGTGCTGCCCTCTGAGAGCCTGATTGAATTCACCTGGGGCTCCGCCCGGGCGCTCCCTCAGTGGCTCCGGGGCAGCTCAGGTTGAAAAGCACTGCCCTAAAGTGGTAGTTCTCAAAGTGAGGTTCTGCAGATTCAACAGCCCCCAGGTGGTTAAAAATACAGCTCTCAGACCCCATCCCCACCTGCTAACTCAGAAATACGGTGGGGTGTACGGGGGCAGCAGCATCTGTGTTTTCTTTTTTAAATCCTCACCCAAGGATAAATTTATTGATTTTTAGAAAGAGAGAAACATCAATGAGAGAGAAACATCAATTGGTTGCGTCCCATATGCTCCCCGACAAGGGATTGAGCCTAAAACCTAGGTACATGCCCTGACCAGGGATGGAGCCCACAACCCTTTAGCGTCCAGGACAACGCACCAACCAACTGGGCCACACAGCCAGGGCAGCACCTGTGTTTTAACAAACGCTCGGGATTCTAATGCACATCAAGTGTGAGAACACTACTCTAAGGCTTGGCCTTTCAAACCTGAACCTGCTCATTGCCGCACACTTCGCAGGTGGCCTGGGTGGATGAGGGCAGCGCAGGAGAGAAGGGGAAAGCTGGCAGGGGGACCCGAAAGGCCTGGCACCGTAATTGTTATTTTACACTCAACTGAGGCCCTGGGTGGGGGGCGGGGAATGAGCTGCAGGAACCAGAACTGGGGGCTAGAATAACACCGCCCGCAGCAGTAACAAACTCTTCTCTGCTGAGAGTCACCACTAATAACAATTTTAGCGCTGGGCTCTACTTTTCTTTACAAGTGTATGTTTGTCTTTAGTTTATTAACTTATAAAAGGCATCTATTGGTAAACACAGGGGCTTAAGTACAATTGCAGCGCTGCCTGGATATCGTGTAGGTAAACATACGTGCCTGGGAAGTCGGGAAGCTGTGCTGCTGACCTTCACCTTGTAGCTGACGGGTGGATTCCGTTCTCCTGGCCACCGCCCCTGCACCCCAGGAAGGGCGGATCCCCACAGGGTACTTGGCCCCAATCGCCTGCCCTCCAGCAACAAAGCATGCGCGGCGTTTATAAAAATGTAATAGGATTTACGACCTATTGATGGCCTTCTGTGTGCCAGACTTTTTTGTGAGGTTTTAACATACATTATCTCCTATAATCATCACAACCTTATAAAATCACTGCTATTATCCCCCATTGAACAATTGTGAATGTTGTGGCACAGAGAGGTTGAAGACCTTGCCCGAATCCCACAGCCAAGGGTCAAGCCCAGGGAGGTTTGGCCTCCAAATTGGGGGGCGGGGGAGGGTGGAGGTGGGGAAGCTTGCTCACGGTCAGGCATGACATGGCATTGCAATAAATCTAAACTGGTTGAGCTTGTGAAGATGTAAGGCAATTATCCCCAGCTCGCCCAAGGCTTGTCCGGTGTCCTGTGTGTCTCTGGCAGGGTGAGAGCCACACCATCCAAAGGTCGAATTGCTGTGTGTCATCTTAGAAATAATTCAAGGACCAGAGACACACCTGGCAACCAGAGGTAAAGATCTCATCTGAGTTGTCAAGAATGCAGTTGCTACTCACAGAAATGGCTGGGTCTTTAATTCTTTTTCTTTATCATTTTGGAAATTAGCAGCCAAAGTGGTGTATAAATATTACATATTATCATCACCCTGAATAATAAGAAGGCATCCTTTTAAAGCTCTTTGCGTCTCCAAAACAACATAAACTCACTAGCTCCTGACATCCTAGTATTGTCGGCCTTGGTTATAACCAGAGGCAGTGGGATCCGGGAGATCGTGACCGTTGGCAGCCTCGTGAGTCTGCAGTCCCCGCAAACCCAGAGCCCTGGGCTGAGAACCAGACATAGTGGCTTTCGTGACAGCTCTGCTCAGCCTGGCTCTGTGAGAACAGAGAAATGACATTCGCCTTCTGGGTCTCTCTGGCCATCACATGGGAGTAGACTGGTTTCAGAGTTCCCTTCTCTTTCCTTAAGCCCTGGGACGGCTTCCCAAACATTGGGAACAATGGGTGGTGATGCTCCTGCTGCTGATGTAATATAGTACATAGTTAGGGAGCCAATGTGGGCAGCATCTAGAATGTTCTGATGCCAAGACTGTTTCTATAATGTCTTCCCTCTATAACTCGTGACACTAAAGTTATTCCTTCTTTAGAAAAAATTAGGGAAATAGTGCTGGGGTTATTGGTTGGCTGCCATTATTTCCTTGCCCAGAAAGGTCATGGCAATGGCACACCTGTTGAGAACCATCCCGTCTGGTTTCAGGGACTGTAGCTTTGCTGTCAGGCGAGAGGACCCCAAGGCTGGAGCTGAGCAAGGAGGCCTTGGGAAAATAGGCTACTGAGGAGACAAAACCTGTCCCTCTGGCAGAGGCGCAACCTCTGCCTTCCTCACGTCACCCTGCTTGGTCCCGGAGGATGGCTGGTTAGTCAATGACGGGTAAGGCCCCTCGATGGCAGGGGCAACCTAAGACAGGCACAGCTGCATAGGGCCATCAGGGAAGGATTTGGGGGACGCGAAGAAGAGGCAAAAGACCCTCACCTCTCTGCTCAGTCTTGGCTGGAGTCCTCATTCTACCTGAAAAAATCTCCTTATCTCTTCACTGCTCTGCTCCACCTGCCTGACCCAGTCAGTGAAACAATACGAAAGGCAGGTACAGCTTTAAACTGGATCACCCCGTTCCCTGGGGGCAGTTAGGTCTGGAAGAGGAATTCATTAAATCCTATGAGACTTACTTTGCTAAGAATGCCCTGGAGTTAATGAGTACTGGTGTTTGGGGTTGAGCATAGAATGTGATCAGTTTCCCAGGCATTCAGGGCTGAATGGGTACCACCCTGTTTACTAGACCCTGACACGAGGCAAATCTGTGTTCCTTCAATTGTTATCTATGATCTCTATCTATTTTCTGTAAACAGAACGTTTTGACATTGATTGATGAACTTTGCATCCGTGCTGTATACCGCTGCACATAGCTTCTTAATAAAAGCCACTTGAAGAGACAGGCTTGGGAGCATTCTCTGTGAGAGGGAATCGCCACCCCCCTTTTCCTGGCAGACCAGGAAGTGTCTGAAATGACTTATTTTCTTCCATCTGCAGTGACCTGAGGGGACTCTGTGTGGAATGCGGTACCCCCCTCACATACCTACCAGGTAGCCCAAGAGGGATCTTTTATAAACGATAAGGAGGAGAAGCCGAGGCTTATAAATTCCTGAGAAATACTCTTAGCCTGGAAATAAGGGACTTAAACTAGCCTACTCGTCAGGAACGCCCACGTCCAGAGTCAGAGTTTAGGGCCTGATAGGAGCCCCTGTGCTCACCTACAATCGTATATTCCGTCTTTTGGACTTTTCATTCCTCTCCTTACCTCCAAACTAGACTCTGATCTGATGGTCACTGGCATTTAGGAAGGATGAGAAAATGCAACATAAATACTTCTTCCTTTGCTGCTGATAAATTTTACCAATTGAATCCTCCAACTCTGATAGAGATTGTCATCACTCCAAAAAAGGTCTAGAGAGTTTGAGTGACTTACCCAAGATCATGCAGCAAAAACTTTAACTTGGGTCTTTTTTCTCCAGGTTTTGTTTTGTTGTTGTTTTTTTTTTAAGAGACCTATTTGTTGTTCCACTTATTGGTTGCTTTTTATGTATGTGCCCTGACTGGAGATTGAACCTGCAACCTTGGTGTGTCGGGATGACACTCTAACCAACTGAGCTACATGGCCAGGGCTTTTCTTCAGTTTTTAAAACCATGTCACTGTCACACCTCAAGAAAGGGGGAGGGGGTCACGTGGCTTGTAGCCAAGCTTTGTATCAGAATCCTCTGAGGCCTGGTCCCCAGAATCTATTTGCAGGGAGGTAGGAGACTCCCTCTATGTACCAGTCAGAGACATGCAGGCAGTTTTGTGCCTCCTCCTGCCCCCGTCCATGGGTACTCAACTTCTCCTCCTTTCTCCCAGGTCATCAAACAAGAGGGCACAGGCACAGAGATGCCCATGACTGGGGACCGAGTCTTCATTCACTACACTGGCTGGTTGGTAGATGGCACCAAGTTTGACTCCAGTCTGGACTGCAAAGATAAATTCTCCTTTGATCTGGGAAAAGGTAGGCAAAACCAAGGCTTGGTAGATATTGATAGGTTTCAAGGAGGATATAAGCTGTCACAAGCTGAAACCATATTTGCAGAAGTTTAAGGAGGGGTGGTTTATTACAAACTGCCAAGTTTGTTGTTGTTGTTGTTCCTTTTTCTTCCACTGTCCTGTAACTATATTGATTTCGCTTTTTCCTCTGATCACCTCTGAATACCCCACTTCCTCTTCAGAAGTGGACTGCCGTGTTTGTTGAACTTATTTGTTCCAGTGTTGGGTGGTTTTGTTTTGTTTTGTTTTATGAGACATCTGAGATGACAGCACTGATTGCAGCCATGTTTCTCGACCTTCCTGGTCCTATTTCTAAAGAGAGTCCAGCTTCCCCTCAGGCATCATACTCTTGGCGCCACCGAGCCCAGAATGAGTTCCCTGCCAAGGAAGAAGGACCTGTTTGCTTTCTGTTCCTACAGGGGAGGTCATCAAGGCTTGGGACATTGCTGTAGCAACCATGAAGGTGGGAGAGGTATGCCGCATCACCTGCAAGCCAGAATATGCCTACGGTTTGGCAGGCAGCCCTCCAAAAATCCCTTCCAATGCCACGCTGGTGTTTGAGGTAAGAGTCCAGCCAGAGAGCAAAGCAAAGAGCCGGCCTTAGCTCAGCTCAGGGCCTGGCTGCCCTCCGGTCCTTCCTGCCGCTAGGAGACAATGTAGCCGAAGCTAAGGGCCTGGCCTTAAAAGGGGCAAAGAGAATTGGAGAGGGTAGTTGGCTTTGCTGTGCACACAGCTTACTGCTGCCAGAACACAGGCTATGATGGAGGTTCCGGGTGGAAAGAGGTGGCCACGAACCCCTCTTCAGACCTGAAGCAGTAATGGGTTGAGGCATGTTTATCTCAAGAGAAGATGAGGTATAATTTTAACTGAAAGGAGTCAGGAGGTCAGAATCAATATGCAGTTGCAAATGACAGAATAGAATATTGGTGCCTAGAGATAAGAGGAGGGGAGAGATGCCTCCCCCTGTGGGTCAAGGATGTGAGGGAAGTTTTCTCTGAGGAGGTAGAACTAGACACTAGTCAGTCTGTAAGTAGTTGAGCCCTAATCACCACGAATAACTTGGAGAATGTGCAGAAGACTGCTGAAAGATGTTGGGTCATTTATAATGCATATAAGATTGGGCTTCTCAAGTACCTAAGTTGGGCTTGACTAGAACATGTCCTTATTAGGTAGAGCAGGTAGCAAATAGATTGACTTCCTGAGGTTAACTGAAATCTGGATGGCCTGCCCACCTCTACCAACACTGAGACTAGGGCAAATCCTGAGAACTTAGCAAAAGTGCTACTTTGTCCACTCCTAGTGTGACTGCCCTCATGGTCAGACCTAGCTTGGCAGTTATTAGGGACTCTTCTAAATGAGAGAGAAGTTGTATCTCACTGTTGACAAGTTAGTGTTGAAAGGAGGTGTCGCCCTATGTCTTGTCCCACAGGTAGAGTTGTTCAAGTTCAAGGGAGAGGACCTAACAAAGGAAGAAGATGGGGGAATCATCCAGAGAATATGGACTCGGGGAGAAGGCTATGCCAGGCCCAACGAGGGTGCCGTGGTGGAGGGTAGGACAGTAGGCAGGTTTTAATTTTGTTTTTGATACTTAGTCTCTGGGTGGCTTTGGGCAGGGTACTTCCTTTTTCTGATTGTCTTTTCTTGTCTGTAAAGTGAGGGATTGGAACATACCCTTTTTTATCATCCCTCCAAGTCTCAGAACACAAGGGCACGTTGAGGGCAAGAAGTGAGGAGATAACAGAGGGATGCTGACGGCATCCTTCTTCAGTCACCTCCCTGCTCATGCACTTGGTACATTGCCTTTCTTGCATGCCAGTCGCACTGGAAGGGCACTACAAGGACAAAGTTTTTTGACCAACGGGAGCTCCACTTTGAGATTGGTGAGGGAGAGAGTCTGGATCTGCCTAGTGGGCTGGAGAAAGCCATTCAGCACATGGAAAAAGGAGAACATTCCATTGTGTACCTCAAGCCCAGGTAAGATGTAAGCTTGGTAGAGCAGGTAGGTGAACCGAGGTCAGAGATCGACATGTCCACAGTGAGTTAGATGACTGGCCATGTGTATCCTTTCCTCCGTGTGTGTTCACTTCCCTCACGTCCTCATTAGTGTTCACTGTGCCTCTGGGCACACCAGACATTGGCCATTATGGTCTCTTTGCTGTATTTAGGAGCGTGGCCACAGTTGTCCACATCTCCTTGGATCAAAGCACAATCTTTTCAGTCATGGCTGTTACAGACTCTCTCCTTTACCAACATCAAGATTTTCGTGTTCATTCACTCACTCATTGGTGAAGTTTATGGAAGCCCACTTACTCTGTGCCATACACGGTGCTGACAATTTCTAGTTATTCAGGGACATTGTACCTGCCACCTACTGACTCATTTTTCAGTGAGATGCCATTTCAATTAATAATCAAGCCAGTGTGTATATAGCATGAGTTGTTACAAGGACATGTAAGATACTAAGAGAACTAGTTGTGTTAGGGGGTCAGGGAAGATTTTGCCAAACAGGATGGAGAGGTACTTCCCAGAAAACAGGAAGTCTTTCCAGTGCGGACCAGGTTCACTGCTATGAGATGACTTAAAGGGTGTTTCTGCCCCCACAGCTATGCTTTTGGCAGTGTTGGGAAGGAAAAGTTCCAAATCCCACCAAACGTTGACCTGAAATATGAAATCCACCTCCAGAGTTTTGAGAGGCTGAGTTGGCCCAAGGTTCTCCTTATTCTGAAGTCACATCCCACCCTGGAGGTGACTCTGGGGTAGCTGACAGTTGTGTTTCTCCCTTGGGGGGGGTGGCAGGCCAAGGAGTCTTGGGAGATGAATTCAGAGGAGAAGCTGGAACAGAGCACCAGAGTGAAGGAGCGGGGCACTGTGTACTTCAAGGTGAGCCAGCAGCCGTGGTCCTGAGGACACTTCCGGGGAGGGCTCCCCCGGGCCCACCTTTCCCACCGATGGCTGAGGTCAGTCTCTGCCAGGGAGTGGACAGGTGGCACCTGCAGTCTTCCCTTAGTGTAAGCTAGCAGGTCTTGCCTGGGGGCATTGAGGGTGGGGGTTGGGCAGGGCTCTTCTCGTGCCCACGGATCACTGATGACTGCAGGGTATGACAGCCTGGTGCCACTGAACCTGTGCTGTGTACCTGAGCCTCCTTCCCGTTCTAGGAAGGCAAGTACAAGCAAGCTGTACTGCAATACAAGAAGATTGTGTCCTGGCTGGAATACGAGTCAAGTTTCTTTGATGAGGACGCACAGAAGACAATGGCCCTGCGGCTAGCTTCCCATCTCAACCTGGCCATGTGTCATCTGAAACTGCAGGCCTTCTCAGCTGCCATCGAAAGCTGTAACAAGGTGAGGCCCACTTTAAAGACGTATGGGGCAGTAGTCACAGGCAAGACTGGGGGTGAGCTGCCGGCATGTCTGAAGCTTGCTCTCCGTGACTAAGGTAGGAGTAAGCAGGATGGACCATTGTGAGCTCAGGGATTAAGGACCCAGAGGCAGGGGTTGTGAGAAGCAAGTACCTTGGCTTCAGTGGTAGGAGGCAGATGACCCAGAGGTAAAAGGAAACACTGGATGGGAAGAGCTACTTAAGTGTTTTCTTCACCCCTCTTCTTGCCTCCCTCTTGAATACCGGCTTTATTGTAAAGAGAATGCGAATGTTAACAGAGGGCCTTCTTTTCCATCTGAAGACCTGTCTTCCCTCTCTGCATCTTGGACTGAATGGGGTTCCTTCATAGACTTTTGTCTTTTCCACTTAATGCCCCAAGACTCATTCTTTAAGCGGTGGGGCCAGCCATTGGCATTCTCCATCATCCTGCTGAGGGTACCTTGGAAACCGAGTCTTGGCCAGATAGGCTACAGTAGCTGAGGTCTCACTGTTGATTCCTCCCTCATCATTAGGCCCTGGAGCTGGACAGCAACAAGGAGAAGAGCCTTTTCCGCCGGGGAGAGGCCCACCTGGCAGTGAATGACTTTGACTTGGCACGGGCTGACTTCCAGAAGGTCCTGCAGCTCTACCCCAGCAACAAAGCCACCAAGGCCCAGCTGGCTGTCTGCCATCAGAGGATCCGTGAGCAGCTCACACGGGAAAATAGGTTCTGACTGCCCCAAGGTCAAAGTGCAGCATCCCAGCTCACATACCCCCACCTACACCTGCAGGTTCCAGAGAACTACTTCTATGTACCCGACCTGGGCCAAGTGCCCGAGATTGACGTGCCACGCTTTCTGCCTGACCTGCCAGGCATCGCTGATGACCTCATGTACAGTGCTGATCTGGGCCCTGGCATTGCCCCCTCCGCACCAGGCACCATCCCTGAGCTGCCTGCCTTCCACACAGAGGTGGCCGAGCCTTTCCAGCCGGGTGAGTGAGAGCCAGGAATGGGAGTTGGGCCACTTTCTTCCTCAGACACCTCACATTTCTCACACTTGTTTCAGGCCTAGAAGATGGGGTGTTAATGGCACCACCACCGCCACCACCCTCGCCACCACCTCTCCTGGCTCCAGCTGCGCTGGTCAGCCCTGCCCTGCCCCCGCCCCTGCCCCCACTGCAGATGGCAGGTGGCCTCTCCCAGTCAAGATGCCCAGGAGGCTGACGGCAGCTTGTCTCCTGCAGGTAGGAGCATGGCAGGTCGACCCGTGGGTGCGTGTGTGGGGTAGGGCACTTTCCTTGAAGGCACCTCCAAATTTCTGGATCCCTGAAGGATTTTCTGTAGTTTGGTTAAGTGGTCATAAATTCTAGGGTTTCAGAATAGTTCTAATTTTAAATCTTTCTCCACTGGGTATATAAAACAGTGGTTTTCAAACTGTGTCAATAGAGCTCCGGATTTCCATCAGGGTAGAGGGAGCCTGGGCAGATGGGGCTGTGGGTCCCCCATTCCCACTTAAATCAATGGAGAAAGGGGGCTGCTAAAATTATTGAAAACTACAGCAACAAAATATCCACGTGTCCCTTAAATTGCAGAATCTCAGTTTTACTGTATCTCCCAGTCATCTCCACCATCCAGAAGCAGTACAAAAATCCCTTGTTGGATCACATGTCACATTTAGATATTCAGCATACGGGAAACTCCCAGGCCCCCCTCTGCAGGTGGCAGCTAAGCTGGGTGGGGATCAGAGAGGGACCTGGGTGCCTGGACACGTGACTCTCTGAGCTCAGTGGGTGCAGCCAGCATCCAGGCTTCACCAGAGGCCCGGCCTCACCAGCTGGCTTCCCCTTCAGGGAGAGCCCCTCCTTGCAGCCGGGCTGCCCTCGGCTCCTCCAGACCCCCAGAGCTTTGCCTGGGCAGGGCTGTCCCACTGCCTAGCCCTGCCTGAGCAGCCTTCCTTCCCCACCCCCAGCTCCCGTCCAGGGAGCTCCCAAGGAAGTGGTGGACCCCTCCAGTGGCCGGGCCACTCTGTTGGAGTCTATCCGCCAGGCTGGTGGCATTGGCAAGGCCAAGCTCCGCAGCGTCAAGGAGCACAAGCTAGAGAAGAAGAAACAGAAGGAGCAGGAGCAAGGTGAGGGGACTCTACTGTGCCCATTCTGGAAGGGCTCTGAGAACAGGGCCGCCTCTTCCAACCACCACCAGCCTCCAACAGGGTGCTCCTTGCAGTGGGCTCCTGCTGGGTTTTGGAGCCCGCTTAGTGGAACTGTCCTCACTAAGCTGGTAGAGACAGAGCCTCATCCAGCTCCAACTGCAAGACAGAATCTTCTCGTACTTTGCCATTTGTCCAAGGAACGGTCAGGACCTGAGATATTTTAGACACATAGGACCTGGGGCGGTAGCTCAGTCCTGCTTCTCTAAGCCTCTCGGGGCTACAGATTCTTTCCCCTGTGACGCTGGCATCAGTGTAACACCTGGGCAGGAAGCAACAGTCCTGCCCTTGAGTCCCAGCTTTGCTTCCTACCCAGGCAAATTGCGTAACCACTCCGGGCTGCTCATACAGTGGGGCTGCTCATTCGCGCCCCTCTGTCTCACAGGGTGGCTATGACGGTGCTACTCAAGTGTTAACCATTGTCCTGTCAGTGCCCTGGTGCTGGATCCACTGACACACTGAGGCTCCAGGAGCCGGTGGTGACATGGTGGTTGTGAAGAGGGCTGGGGGTTGTCAATAATGAAGAAAAAGAGGACAAATGGGACTGAACCCTGAGGTTGTCACCCAAGTATAGGGCTTCATACGTGGTCCCTCCCTTCCTCCTTCCTCACCGGTGGTTTCTCCTGTTGCAGTGAGAACCACAGGCCAAGGTGGGGACCTGATGTTGGATCTCTTTAACAAGCTGGTCCTGAGGCGCAAAGGTAGGCGGAGCACCACTGCCTTCTGGGGACTTGGGGGGTTGTGCGCCATGCACACACTGTCTCCTTGTTTCTAAGTCTCCAGGGGCTTCTAAGTCTCTAGGGGCTGGATGGGTTGGTGCCCCAAAGCACGCCGGTCACCCTCCCCCTTTTCCCTCCCAGGCATCTCTGGGAAAGGACCTGGGACCGGGGCCAGTGAGGGACCAGGAGGAGCCTTCGCTCGAATGTCAGACTCCATCCCGCCTCTGCCTCCCCCACAGCAGCCACCCGGAGAGGCAGACGAAGATGACTGGGAATCCTAGGGGCTCAGCAGCTCCTTCTCCCCACAGCCAGGCTGAGGCTCCTGCCCTCACATGGAAACAGCTGGGATGGGCCCCTTGGCCTGCAGGTCTCTCAGCCCCCGCTGCCCTTGGAGGGACGCGGATCATGGAGGACTCCCCCGGGTCTGTGGCCGGGCCGTCTTCAAGGAGCGGGGCGGCTGGCTTCTGAGGGGTGGGAGGGGGGCCCTTGCTCCCTGCCTGTGCTCCCCCCACCTCCTTCACTGGTGAGCTCTACTCTTCCCTGAGACTTGAGATACAGCAGTACACGAATCAATAAAAATAGAAAGCAGAACTGAGCACCAACCAACAGTGCACTTTTAATTAAGGAACTATGGCTGTGCAGAATGCAAACATCTCCGCGCCAGGGCCCGTCCTCCTGCTCCCACTGGTCTCTGGCAATGGGCAGGGTGCCGAGGGGACCAAGGCCCTTTTCTCTGGGGTCAGGGAGAGAAGAGGTGTAGTCAGCAGGGGCATTTGTTGCAGATGGGGGCAGGGATATTTTCACACAGGAAAAAATGTCTCAGTGACCGACATGAGTATCTAAAAGTAGTCATGCTGAGGGCCTAATGGCCCTGGGTGTAATTGCTGATGTCAGGGGAAGAGGTGTCTGGGAGTTTGCCCAAGTGGCGGAGAGCGGGAGAGGTGCTACCGACTTACAGGACCTGGAACCCGTCCAGCGGGATAAGGAGGCTGTGCAGGGCCGAGAACAGGTTAGGGAGCAGCCCGGAAGTAAAGTGAGGCCAGCCGGCCGGCCGGGCAGCAGCACACTGGCCCTGCCCCCAGTTCTAAGCGACTTCAGTGCCCGATTCCTCACAGATGGTGCTTAATCCCCAGGCGGCAGCGGCAGCCGGGTGAGGTAAACAGACATCGGAGGGCAGATGAGCCCTGGACCCCAGGGGGGCCGGGAATGGGGAACATCCTTAATTTTGAGGAAAGGGTAAAGGTCTCGGACAGCTAGAAGGGAAGAGGAGAAAAGGGAGGCAGTAGAGGCCTGCTCCACCTCACCTCTGATGAAGAGGGTGCTGAGAAACGAGCAAGGACAGAGACGCTGCGTGGAAGGTGCAGCTTCCACAGCCCCTGGGAAAGGCCTGCCCGGGAGCAGGGCAGGGAGCTCAGCTGGGCAGTGTGAACAGGAGGAAAGATCCAGTTTCTGGGAGGGGCCCAGGGATGGCCAGGACCCACGGTTCAGGATTAACCCTGCTTTCGCCTATTGGCTTCTGCATCTATTCCTGGCTCCTGGCAGCCTGGTGATTCCAGAAGCAGCGTAGTCTGCATGCCAGACAAGCGTTGCCGTCCCTCAGGAAAGGCCAGACTTCTTGTGGTGAAACTGGGGAGACAGAGAAGACTGTGAAACACTAGATGGGGGTCTTGGCGGGGAGCTCTTGGGGGGAAGGGAGAGGCAGGGCTGACCTTCCGCAAAGCAGCAAAGGCAGGACCAAAGGTGGCGTTGACCTCCACACGGTCTCGGACCCAGGCCGGCAGCTTTGCCAGGACAGGAGGATGGGCATACCGTTGGTCCAGGAGCACGATGCTGGCGAAATCCTTCTGGTGCCTGATGGTCCTGCCTGGATGGGAACAGGCTGGGGCTCTGACTAAACCTACCTTCCTGAGAGAGCATTTCTATTGTGTCCCTTGCCCTTCCTTGGCCCTCAGACTGGAGAGATGGCCGGTGAGACCCCACCCTCTCACCTCCTCCTTCATCCCTCCCTCCCCAGCGATTTATCCTGAGAGACTGGTACAGTCCCAGGCTTACCTATAGACTGATTGACAGCCTTCATACATAGATTCTCCACCAAAGCCTTTCTCAGGGTGGGCTGACCTGGGGTTTGGGGCTGGGAAGGGCAAAGGAGACGACCTATCAGAACTGTTTCTTGCCTCCTGTCTAGTGTTCTGAGAAAATGACACTGCTGGGCTTTGAGCAAGACCAGTCGCTTCCCAGGCACAATGCCAACAGCTGATACGAGGGATGAAGTCGTGGGCAGCTCCAGAGGGCACGGAGGGCGCTGCCATCCCTCTGCAGCAAACAGGACACAGTGGCACACAGCAAGGGGCAGTGGGCAGTCCCAGCGTTCCTCAGTCCTAGGGGCGACAGAGCTCTCCCTGCCCTCTCCCCTCGCCCTCCGGAACCCTGGAGGTACTCACGAGGGTCTGACCCAGGTAGGCCATCTTCTCTCGCAGCTCGGGAGACTGGATGTTGGGGTAGGGCATGCCCACCATGACCACACACCTGGGGAGGAGGCATGCGGGAGCCAGCGGCAGCTGGGTGCTCACGGCCCAGGACAGAGGGCCGGGTCCTCACCCACCTGTCACAACAGCTACGTCTACCACCCTGCAGTCCTCAAGCTGTGCTCAGAGGCTCCACCTCTCCCTCCCCACCCTATGCCTACCACTTAGGGGTTTTTTGACTAAGAAATCCCACCTAGACCAAGGAGTTGAGTTTGATAAAGTTATGGTCTGCTTAATTTTTCACCTGGCCTCAAAGGGGCAAACACAAAGCTGCCAAATCACTTCCCCGTGCAGCTGACTGGCCAGCACGGTCAACCCAGGTGCAGATTCAGATGACAGCTGAGTGCAAAGGGCTTGGGGGTGAGGGGGAAGCTGCTTGGAGTGAGGGGTGGGCGGGTGTCAGAGACCCAGGAGATGCAGAGCCCACTCCTTACCGGCCAAGGTTGTCGGAGAAGTTGATGCCTTCACTCATCTTGCCTCCGACCACTGAGAGCAACAGGGCCCCGGTCACCATGCCTCCTGCCTGAACATGGCACTGTGGGAACCCCCCAAAGCTGGGACGCCATCAAAACGTTCTCAGCCACCAACCCCACGTGTCTGGACCAAGGCCTGCATTCCACCTCTCACCTGAATGCACTTGGAATACTCTGTCAGCACCTGTTCCACCTGGTTTGCTCTCTTCGGTTCCTGAAATATCTGAAGGTAAAGAGGTGTTTTCTAGAACAGGGGGTCAGGATGCCTGGGCCACAGGTCTGCTCCAGGCCTTGTTTCCCAGCCTGGAGTGCCTGGGGTCTTTGCAGACACCTCTGGGCGGTCTTCGGGGATTAGAAATGGTGGGAGAAGCCCCTGTACGTGAGGCCCCACGATCTGGCTTGACGTGCACGAGATCCCAGAAGGAACTCTGGATTCACTGTCCCCACAAGGTCCAGCTGAGGGGTCACGAACCTTTTTCCTGACGGCCAGGCGGGCCAGCAGGCCACTCCTGTCCCAGCGGGCATGGACCTGGCGTTGGTACTCATAGGAGGGGAAGAAACAGATCACCCCTCCAGGGACCACATTGCACAAGTAACAGAGGATGCGACCTGTCTCATCCATCTAAGAAAAGAAGACAAGGGTCCTCCATGGGGCCACTCCTGAAGCCACACCCCAAAAGGCTCCCAACCTTAGGGCTCAGAGCCGAGTACAGAGACCCAGAGGTGAATGCAGCCAGGGAGGCCTGCAGCTGGGTAACAGCCCCGCTGGGAATCACAGATTGGAACCTCCCCGCCAAACACACCCAACTACTGCCCTCGGTGACGGGCAGCATCTGACACGCACTGCGGTGCTAGCACAGCAGAGCTGCGCCTGCTGTCGGCGTGTGCCAAGGCCTGCCTCCCCCCCACCCCCCTGCCCCGCTCCCAATGCCCTGCGGGCAACTTGGGATTAAGCACCGCCTGTGACAGACCGGGCACTGGAAAGCCGAGGCTCGCCCCTAGGGAAGTGCCCCAGCACCTGTATCCCTGCCAGGGAGAGGCCGATACAACCAAAGGGCAAGAGAACCGAAGGGAACGAGCCACTTTCTCATGAGCTTCATCCTAAAGGGATGACTGGAGGTGACAAGAAAACTTACTTAGCAGCCTAAGGGGTGAGGGATGAGGGGAAACTCAGACCTTCCTTGATAAACATCTAGATGCTATTCATCCTGTGCCAGCTCTCGATTGGCCAGCATGTCCCGCACCCCAGAAATCTCTGTCCTGCCCCAGCAAAGGCTGCGGTGAAGCAGGCTGGCTGGTACTAACATGTGGGGCAGCTCTCTTTTCGCATATGTGAATTCCAGCTGCTGGTTGGAGGGCCCAGTGCAAATGATGAGGGGCAGGATGGTGTCTGGAAGGATCACGTGACCTGCGGAGGCCCAGTGAGGGTCGAAACACCGGAAGTGCAGGCTGTTCAGCAAGGCAGATGCCAGACAGAGCACTGCCCAACCCCTGTCTTCCGGACGAGGAGCAGCAATTTTTAATGCTCACCCACCCATCCCATTTCCACAATGAAACAGCAATGCTCAGGCCTCTCCCATGTAGACGGAGGGAGCACAGAGCACGCAGACGGTGAGCTCACGCGACAGCCAGCATCCCGTGGTCCCCTTAGCCCCTTAGGCCTGATAACAGCATATAGCTCAATGGTGACAGCTCAGGGCCATGATGTGACTATGTGGCCCATTCCACCCCGGACACGGATCCTCACCACAGGAAAACTCCACCAGTCGCTCAGCTTCCACCCCAGCACATGCCAACAGCTGCTCCCGAAATCAGACACTTGAAGACCACAACATCAAGGCTCTGTGACCACACAGAGGTCCGGGGACAAGGACTTAGCTCTGAGCAGGGAGGGGAAGAGAGGATCACTGGGAAAGACAGAAGTTAGGGTGAGGAGGCAGCAATTATTTAATAAGAAGAGAGGTCAAAAAAGGAAAGGCTGATAACAAATTAGCAAAAACGATACAACAATTTAATGGCACCAGTGTTGGCAGCCTCATTTAAACTACTTGTGATAAGGGCAAAGGAAATTCGGCAAATTTGGCACAGTGAGTCTCAGCCCTGGATGGCCAGGCCCCAGCCCAAACTATTGAATAAGAATCTCTAGAGGGAGGAATAGGCTTTCGTATTTTTAAAGAGCTCCATCCAGGTTTTTTACCTATCAAGTTGGCAAAAAACAAAAGTTTGACCACTCTATGGAGAGATAGACATTCTTATCCCCTGCTGGTGGGATAAGACTGGCACTGCTCTCAGCAGAGGGGATTTGACAATATTTAATAAATTGGATACATTTTTACTTTTTAACCCACCGATCCCACATTTGGGAATCTCCCCTGGAGAGATGGCTCAATAAACCAAATAACAAGGGCACAAGGATATTTCTTGTGGAGTTATTTGTGAGAGCAGGGCTGCCTTTCCGCAGGGCCTGGCCGACTGAGCGGTGCTACATCTGGCCAGCAGAAAACTGCGCAGCTGAGCAAAGGGATGCGGACCATCAACATACTGGTACATAAAAACAGATTTGGCCACCTTTGATGTAAGTAAAAAAGAATAAGGACATAGATCTGCTTATTTTTGCAAAGAAAATAACATGAAACAGTGGAAAGATAGACCAGCAGCTAATAAAACATGCTCACCAAAGGAATGGGGAATAGGCTGGAAAGTGAGACTTTCTGAAACTTTTCCTATAGTTTCAATTTTGGAACCATACAGATGTTTACATATTCTAAAAATAGAATTAAGTCAACAAAAAAGGCAAACTCTAAAACTGAAAACAAACTGCAACAAATAAAGCCTGATACCAAGTGACTTCATATCCTTTTTATAAAGTCCTCAGCCGAGGATTTGCTTATTGATTTTATAGAGAGCAGAAAGGAGGAAGAGAGACAGAAACATTTATTGGTGGCCCCTTGTATGTGCCCTCACCGTGGACCAAACCTGCAACCTTTCAGTTTATTGGATGACACTCCAGCCGAGTCACACTGGCCAGGGCATGACTTCCTAACCGTAGTGACCATGTATCCTTAGTAGGGTATACAATAAGGGCAATAAATAAATGCAAAGAAATAAAATTTTAATCAACAGTTTATTGTTAGAATATTGGTATTATATTTTTGATGCTATTTTGAGTATATTGTGGGATAGAGCAAATAAGTAGTTATGTTAATATAAGAAACCAAAAGTTTAGCTCAAGAGAAAAGAGATGCAGCAAATGCTTAAATAAATTGATTGATTTTTATTTCGAAATATCAATATGGAATCAGGATTTCTGAAAATATATTTCCAGGCCTGCACTGAAAAGGCTCATAAACAGTAACCACCCAGGAATACTGCAAATACCCCAGCACCCAGATCTTGGTTACTAATACCCACCTCCAGTGGAAGAAACTAGGGCACTTTGCAGAAATGAATGATTCCAGATCTGGGATGGAGAAAGCATCACGCGGCCCACGGCATTTCTGTTGTGCCAGAAGCCTCCCCAGGCCAAGGGGGCTGCACTCAGAGGACTGGAGGCAGCAAGGGGGGTCCCACAGGCCATGTTTGGGACAACTTGAGCATCAAAAGCCTCCTTGCGGACTACAAATTATTTTAATACATAAATAAATAAAAATCTACAAGTCTATACACAAGAAATAATGAAAAAATAATAAAGCTACAGGGGTGATCAAATGGACAGCCGAGGTTGGGCACAGGCTGCGTGAGGACGTTGATAAGCTCTTCATGCACCAGGGCCTGTTCTAGGATGTCTCCGAAGGAAATAACCACAGTGCAGAGATTGGTTACATTCATAATTCTATTGTTTACACAGAGAAAAACTAGAAATCACCTAAATATCTGACTAAAGAAGAGTGGTTATATAAAATATATTCATGTAATAGCATAACGTATAGCTGGGGTATGGCAGAATAAATGCTTATTTGTTGACCAGAAAAAATGTATATGGCATTCTGTTGCTGAGTGGGGAAAAAAACAAATTATAACAACAGCATATACAGATAATATGGTACCTTTTTTATTTTTTTAAAATATGTATGTCTATTTGTAAAAATTATGCAGACTATTATAATGATATGCACAACAAAAAGAATCTTTTGCTGGTGAAATTATTATCCTTTTTCTTGTTTTTGTTTGTCTCTGCTTCCTACAATTGAAAATATAGTACTTTTCTAAAAACACCATATTTTGCTGTGTATAATACACACATTTTAGCCCAAGTTTTTGAGGAAAAAATAAGGATTCGCATTATACATGGGTATAAATGATTACATTTATAATCATTTTAATGGGTATACCATGGGTATAACAATCCTCTGTATAGAGCACACAAGAATGGTGCAAGTTATACCTGGGAGCGCATTACTCACAGCAAAATAAATGGTATATTTAAATAAATGGTATATTTAAGTTTATAAGAGAGGGGAGATTATATCTAGGGTGGGCACAGGACGGGGGTGGCACTGAGGCAACTCGGCGAGAGGAAGGAGCTCCGGAAGGGCTTTCCCTGTGATCCCACTGCTATGGACACACTGGCACGTGGCAGGGCCCCGTCCCCACAGCCTAAAAGGCTGGGCAGTGAGACAGTACAGCGATGCCACCTGGTGGGCATTGCTTGGCCTGCTCAAGCCAACCCCTTTCTGGTTGGGGAACCCAAGGGGTGAGACTGCACCCTTCCCCAGTCACTCTCCCACCCAGACCCAGCACAAGAGGCCGGGTCTGGGCTCCTTACCGGCTGCATGGTGCCCCCCGCAATGACCACGGCCCGGCATTCCTTCACCACCTGGGCAAAAGGCACACCTGGATTCAGCAGCAAGAATTTGAGGCTGCTCTGACTGAGGCTGCCTGGTAAAAAGACAAGTAAAAGACAGCTTACATGGGAAGGGGGCAGGTACAGCCCCAACAGAAGTGTCTCTGTCTAAGGCAAAGGGGATCTCCAGCTGGTCCGTGTAGGAGGCATGAGTGACAGCACTTTCTCTCTAGATCTCATTTAATGTTCAGGACAACCCCGAGACAGAAAGAACGACTATCTCCCTTTGCACATGAGGAAACTGAGGTTCAGAGACAAAGAAACTGGTCCAAGACACGCAGCTGGTAGGTGATGGAAGATTCAAACCAAAGCTCCTATACCTTTCACCACGAGGCTACATGGCTTCTCTCGTACCCTCGCCTGAGATGACTGACCATCCCAGCACATCTGCACCCCTCCTCACTAACCCGACCGCCTGCCCAGGTCATAGGAGTCTAGGTACCACCGCCCTGTTTCCCCGTCCTGGCCCATGGAGGTGCGGGGCTGGGAGTAGAGACTCCTTCCGTGCTCTGGCCTCCCAGCTCCAGGCGGGCTCCTCCTCGGATTAGTGAGGAGGCTCAGGATGACCCTGCCGTCCTGGTTGGCAGTGGTGAGAGCTGCAAGGAAGCCTTCGATGTGCATCAGTGGGGAAGCAGGCCGAGGTGCCCTGGCCTCCCCCTCCTCCACAGGGGCTGGGGGACCTGCACAGAGCAGAAGGAAGGGAGTCCGGGACTGCGGACAAGGGCAGAGGGCCGCTCTGCAGTTGGGCTGAAGCGGTCTCTGGGGAAGATGAGTCCACCTGTGAGGAAGGAACATTCCCGCCCAGGGCCTGCCGTCCAGCCGCCACCCCCCCCCCCCCCCCCGACTCACCCTCAGTCACCCCGGGCTGTAGGCTCTGTAGGAAGTGCTGGAACCCAGCCATTCTGGGCTGCTCCCTGGGGGTGCGAGGACTGCCCCAAACCTTTCTGTGAAGCCCAACAGCTGAGCAGGGATGAGAGCAATGAAGACTAATGAGGGCAGCGGCTCTGAGGGAGGCTGGGGCGGACGAGAGGCCTCCATCTCCTCTGCAGCTCAACCACCCGCCGACCCACGACACCAGTGTCTTGGCAGCCCCCCTGCCCCCCCTCCCATAAGGCTGCTCCACAGTGAGGACAACGGACAATGGATGAGGGGTGACCTGTGAGGGCCGCGAGCTGGGGTGCTGCCAGACCCGCCCCGGTCCCAGGGAAGGGCAGCCCTACCTTCCTGCTGATCATGCTCTTCTCACAGTAGCGCTGCACCTGCAAGACCAAACCCGCTGCAGGCGCTTGGAAACTTTAATCGGGCCGGAAAACAAAAGGCCCCCTTTCCAAAACCCGGGGAGCATGATTCACCACCGCAGTCTCTGCAGGGACCCGGAGCCTCCTGAGGCCGATGGTGTCACCCTCCTTGCTGAGGTCGCTTCTCCCCCAGGGCCTCCACACCACCCAGCTCTCTCCCATGGGAGGGCTGCCGCCAGGCCTCAGACACAGGCTCCTTACAAAGAAGTCTGCGTGGCTCCAACCCTCCTAAAGGTGCCTGGTGATAGCTATGTCCCCTCTGCTTTCCTTCCACATGACAGCACCTAAGCTAGACCTTGAAGGATTAAGGGTTAGTTAAAAAAAAAAATCCTAGGAGCCAGAGCACAAAGGAGGTAAAGCTTGGGACTTGTTCAGGGGACTCCTGGAGTGCAGTTTAGTAGGCGAGTAGCTTGGAACGCAAGACGATGACTCTGGAGCCTTTAAAGATTTCTGAAAAGAACAGTATCTTTCAATTAAAAGCCACTAGTCTATAGTTAGTAAAAGCCTTTAGATGGGAAACAGAAACAGCCATTAGAAGGGAAACAGGATGAAATGAAACCAAGACAACCAGGAAGAAAGCAGAGGAAAAAGAGCCGCAATGAAGTAGGAGCCGTGGAAATGAAAAGGAGGGGTAAATCCAACAGCAATTTCAGGCTATGGGGCCTGGCAACAGTTGGGACGTGGGACACAATGGGAGAAAGAAAGGGCTCAAAAATGACAGTATTGCCAGTCTGTCTGAAGGGGGTAATGGCAGTAACCATGACCAAAATGGGTAAGCCAGGGGCAAGCTGGTTTGAAACGGAGAGTCAGGATAGAAGGCAAGCAAGGTCTTGAGTCTGTGCAGCTGGGTCCACATGGGGCTCTGCCATGTACCATTTGTTTACTTCTGTGTGGTTTGTGCATATCGTCGTCCTGAGGGAACCTCCCTGAGCCCCGGTTTCCTTTGCTCTGGAATGGGGGTGGCACGCCCTACCCTGGAGTCACAGAGCCTGGTGCACTGCCTCAAATGCAGAAACTGCTCGGTCCCTGTTGGTAAACTAGGACTGCTAAGCTTGTGGGCCTAGCAACAGTGGCTGTGCCCCACCTGGCAGAGCACTGAATACGTGGGCCCGGAGCAAGCGAAGACCTGAGGCTGCGAGCAAACCACGACTGCAAAGGTCAAGCGGAACGGCCCAGCTGTGTCCTTACTCACCTCAGCCCAAGGGCAGGATGCAAAATGAACTTCCTGCTCTGCCCAGCAGCCCGGGGGAAACACCGTGACCCAAGCACGATGGATAAGGCGGAGGGCCCGGGCCTCCCCACTTGTGCTCACTGGGTACAAAGACAGGCACCATTTTATCCCTAATCTCTATGACTCTCCCACTGGAGGCTGAGGATTTTTTTCTTGCTGACACATTGCTTGTTTTAAGGGTTAATGACATGCCTGTGCTGTAGGTTCTCAGCCCTCCGGACTGCTCAAGGACAGAAGGAATTCACTTTTTTATTCCTTCCGCATTGTTAACCTAGTGTTCTGCTGTAAGGATAAGATGTGATGTGCTAACGTGAACAGATAAAACCTCTACCTTGAACAGGTTGATGTTGTCTATCTGGCTCTGAAAGAGAAAGTCATTGATGGTCTTCAGCTCTGTCCCTAAAGGTGAACAAACGGGAGCCTTGGAGTCCTGCCCTGAAGACCACAGCTTTGGGGTCCCAGAGGGAAGATCAGAACTGGCTCAGACCAGCTCTGGGCCCATGAGGGCCACCCCCTTACCTGTGTATGGGATGCTCTATGTATCGGGATTTTGCTTAATGTTCCTTGAAAGACAATCCAAACAGGCCAGGGTGGTGGTCCCCTAGCCCTCCACCTTCTCACACTCCACAACGGACTAGTCAAATAAGAACATTTGTATTTGAACAGGTTTTTTGCAATTTTTAGAACCCAAAGACCCCACTGAGCACAGGAGGTCCCAGGAAGCCTCAAAGTCTGACCCACATGTGATTTCATTCTTTTCACACCTCCTCCAGGGAGGCAGGGACAGAGTGACCGGCCCCTTTTATGCAGGTGCCAACAGGACGTGCCCAGGCTGCACTGTGACAGGGGCAAGGCAGAGATGGAAGCGGAGAGCACCGACAGGAGACAAAAATCCCTGCAGAACCAGGCCAGCTGACATTCTTGACCTCCGCTCCTAAGGAAGCCTTCAAAGGGATCGCCGAGGAAGGAAGGGTTGCTGCCCAGAATGCTGGAGAGGCACATGGGACCTGGAGCCACAGATTCTAGCTCCTCTCCCTGGGCTCAGGACCCAGAGGCAGGTCACTTCTCTGCTCTTAGCTTTCCCTTCCTCTTCTGTCACCGAGGGTTACCATGCCTGTGCTGCTTCCCCCCTGGGGCACTCCAGGCCGCTGTCACTATCACATGAAGTGCCATACACTTAGAGCGTATTATTATTACCACCTCAGAACGGTAAAAAGATCTAAGTCAGACAATTCAACTAAGCTATATAAAATGAGAATTTTCTTAATGAATGGCCAAGACAATCTGAGGACACAGAAAACCCAGCTGCCCTGCAGCACCCAGGGACCCGGGCCCGGCACGCTGCGCAGGGGGGATCTGGGCGGGCGTGGGGCACCTTACCACCCAGCACAGTCACAAACTTCTCCAACAGATACAGGATCTGCTTGATGTACATCAGGTTCTTGGCCTTCAAACACTTCCTGAGGACAAACCAACGGACAGCAAGCAGGGTTACTCCAACAGCAGCTTCCCTTCTAAGTGCCCTGAGATGAGGTCTTTCTGTCTCATGTCTTGCAAACTTCTCACAAGCTACAAATACCCTCCTAGGAAAAGAGGCCACGGGACACGTAGGGCCATCCCGCACTGAGCCTGGCCGGAGAGGGCAACCTCAGGGCTTCGGCTCAGAGGCCGCCTTAGGGGTGCCGAGGCTGAGCAGGATTTTCCCTTCACCCTCAGGAGGTGGTGTCTCCTCTGTATCATTCCATGTACCGGAGCAACTGGGAATGTGCCTGGCAGAGCTGGGGAGAGAAGAAACAGGCGTGAAGGCAACCCAGGCTCTGCGCAAGCAGCCTAGAGCTGCGCCAGGGACATCTTAGGCTGTGCCTAGAAAGTGCCAGCCCAGAACACACGGGAAGCAATCAGGGTGAGGAGAGGGGCTGGGAACAGACAAAGGCATGTGTTTCAAAGGCCCATAGGGTGGCGGGGCCTTTGCGGGAGGGAAAGGAAAGTGCGTTCTGCTGCAGGCTCCACTTTGTGCTGGGGAAAAGCAGGAGGCTGCATCCCGCAGGTGATGAAGCTCCCTGCTCATCCTTACGGGGCTGGGAAAAGACATATTGTGTACTAAGAGTGATGGTTCAAGGTGACCATCACATCCTGGCCTAAGGTCAACCCAGGCACTGGTCAGGAGATGTGGTGGGCTGTCATGTGGGTTTCAGGGTCAGAAACCAGTGAGTGGCCAAATCCTAGCTCCCCACTTACTGGCTGGATGACCTTAGACACTGCTTAAACCTTTCTGCGTCTCTTAATTCTTAGTGTAAAATTGGAATACGAGCCCAATGCAGAGTAGGTGTGGCACATAGTAAGTAAAAAAATAAATAGTGGTTTTCAGAAATCTTGAGCATTCCTCAATTAAATCCCCACAAAGCAATATCAGTAACAATAACATCCAACTACATGTGGACTCTGCCTCTCTTGCACCATTATCCTGGATCATGGAGACTATAGTTAGTAGCATCCTGGGCTGAGGGGGCTCGGGATGACATAGGCCAGTGAAAACCAAGGGAACGAGCCACTCTGCCTGAGCTGGGCGAGTCCCCACCATTCTGAGACCGACTGGAAAGCCAGAGTCTGCCTCTCGTGAACCTTGGCTCAGTGCACCTCTACCAAGCCCTGTCTCTGGAGCAACCCCGGGTCCAGGAAGTTAGAGGAACGTCCCTACCTAGGAACAGCTGACTTCCGTACTGTGAATGCTCATGATGGTGTCGATCAAGTTGTGCGCCTCGTCGATGGTGACTACCTGGCCCTGCAGCCGGATCCCTGCGGCCTGCCGGGCGGCCGTGTGCAGGAGCAGCTGGTAGGGCAGCACCACCACCTGGGAGGAAGAGACGGCGGCCCCCTGAGTGGTGGCTGGACACCCTCCTCAGCAAGTTCGCCCAGCCTCCTCCAAGTTCCTGGCATGAAGCTTTATTTCCTGCCCAGAATATGTGTAGAGAGAGCTATATAGAGCATACTGAGCTTTTAGCAGCAGGCTCTTTCCTCAAAAGTTCAAATACATGAAACATAAAAGCGAAGCTGATCTAACCTCTGACTGAACGGGGATGAGGGAGAGGAGTGACACCCCTGCTGCTCAGCCTTGTCCGCGGCCCCAGGGCAGCCCCTGGGCGCCCACGTTTCCTTGGAGCGCGGGGAAGGCCACTGGTGTACCGAAGGCAGCCCAGGGTTCTGGTCCAGGAGCTGCCGCTTCCCAGCTGCGGTTCTGAGAAAGTCACTGAACTTCATGAGCCTTGTTTTCCATCTGCAAAATGGGCTCGATAAACCCCATGTCAAGACAGGGCTGAGAAGAGGGGTTGGCATAACAAAAATAAAAACACTGTAAATTTTTTAGGTGCTATGGTGTCACTATCACTTTCCAGTTACAAGAATACTGATAAACAGTGAAAATGCAGAAAACTGGAAACTTAAAACCCAGGTTTTAATACTGGTTCCATTGCTCACTTTATGTGAGAAAACAGATAAATTACTTAACCTTTCTGGACCCCAGTGTCCCCATGTGTAGAATGCAAAAAAGTACCTGTCTTAGCTACCTCCAGGGGATACCATAAAGGCAAAATAGAGGTGAAAAGTGTCTTAAAAACTCAAGATAATAAAAATCTCAGGGGACCTCTAACCGTCCTGGCACACAGTGTCTATAGCACCAGCCCCCCACATGGCGGACAGAGGGGCACGAGACGGCTGGGAGGCTCCTGGACTCCTCTGTGAGTGCCACTCACACGGGACAGGGTACTACACCGACGCGCAGTTAGCGCCATGTGAAATGATAACTCATATAGTTCCCTGAAACTTTGAAACTCAACTTTAACCTTTTCTTCATTATACAGAATTTTCGACAAATAATATTTCATTTCCAAAAGTCACTCAAATGAACGAAGTAGTAAGAAAACACATAAGTCATATCAAATAACAAAGACATCAGTTTTGACCTGTCAAACTGGCAGTTTTTCACAATTAAATCATACTCCATATGGCCAGTCTGGAAAACAGGACTCTCAAATGCTGCAGGGAAGCGCAGAGTTAGGACAGTCACTCGGGAAGGCCATTCGGGAACCGATTTATGTTCCATAGCTCCCTTACTCCATTCCTCTCGGTTTCTGCCCTGGCATCGCTCACTGTGGTTTCAACTGGCAGTGCACACTCCTTCCTGCTTGCTGTCCTCCCCCCCAAAATGCCAACAGTCCCTGCAGCCCAGAGTTACCAAGGGACCCACGGCCTCCGGCGACCCTGTGTACTAGGAGAGTGGGTTATATGTCATTAGTGCGCAGTGTAGTCAGTCCAGCCATGGCTGGAAGCACCTTCCCAAACTAAGAGGAGTAAAGGATTCCCTCTAGGCTGCAGTTAGAGCCAAGAGCTACTGCTCAGCCCTCTGTGGTCTTCACCTGGGCCGCTGGAATGACAAACCGGCTCCCGTAATAGGGACAGGCCCCGGCCTCCTTCCCCAGGGTTGCCAGCTCCTCAATGTCCTTCATCTCCAGCAGGACCTTGTCCAGGAGCAGATGCAGCTGCCTGTGGTGGTAGAAGGGACAGGCCTCCCGGGGCTCCTTCCGTCTCCTCTTCAGCCCCTGAACCTCGGCTCTGCTCTTGTTCTCTGTGGGTGGCACCAACACGGGGGAGAGGCAGAAAGAACGGTAACTGTCCTATGACCAGGGGCAGGCCCTGAAGGTCAAGTCTACAGAACCCTTCCGTGAGCTATTTATTCTGGTCTCACCATAACATTTTGGTATTTTGCACTGTGTTCAAAGCCAGGATTTTGGAATTGACACTGACTCAGAAAGCAAAAACACCTCTCCCCAAGGAGAGGATCTTTAGGAAGAAACCATCACGTCCATTAAGATCCTCTCTGTATTTCCTGTGGCCCCGGTCCATGTCCACTCCTGCCCCCTCACTCCCAGGACTGCCCGAGGCCACACGATGGTCACAGAGGCTGCTTCTTTAGCTCAAGGGTGGCTACCACTTCAGCCCTGCTGCAGTTCCACACAGCGGTCGTTGATCAGCTGCACAGAACCCAGGTTTTTCACGTCTTTGTTTATACAAAGAGTCTGTAAGACAGAGGAGAAAAGAGATGAGAAACCTCCCCTGGCTCTGCCTGCCTCGGACCCATCATTTCTCTATACCTGGAAGAGAAAGACAAAGGGACGGGGAAGGAAGCAGATGGCACCTGGGCCGAGGCGCCCTGCTTCTGCCTAACTGCCGCGAGCCGAGGGACACGACCCGGGTGTCCTTGCCAAAGGGGCTCTTCTGTACCTCGCGCACAAACTGGGCCAGCTGGGGGTGGGTCCGACTGCAGTAATAAATCTGCTCCAAGGAAAAGCAGGGGCTTTCAAAGGGACTATAGCATCCTCAGATACTCTTTGCACATCAGGGAATGCCATGGCCTAATGAGCGGAGAGAATGGAGAGAGTGGCCACAGAGACACACACCTAGAGCAATGATTCTGTTTCACAAAGATCTGAGCAAATATGGGGCCCATGGCCTCCCCGTCTCAATGTCCTCAACTCCTGAAGTTCAATAGAATGCCCATAAGAAGGTCTCTTCCTATTGGTCATGCTCAGCCTATAATCCCACTGTTTGGAGGGCTTGGTCATGTTAGGACAGGGTATTTCCCCAGTGGTGACTGCTGACATGGAAGAGGTTCCTACACTCCTGGGGACATGTGAGGGAGGGCTGTTCCACACACACCTCCCACAGGACTTGGAGGACTGCGCTGGCCGTAAGGCAGGAAGCCGAGCTGAGCAACTTCTCTTAGTACTCTGCCAAGGTTTAGAAGAGTGAGGGGAGAAAATGGGGGTGAGGAGGAAGTACCTAATTTCTTTTAGCCTTCTTTTGTCTGGGAAACTCCTTATTTCATCTTCCATTTTAATTGAGAGCCTTGCTCAGTAGACTAGTCTTCATTGCAGACCTTTGCTTTTCATTACTTGAAATATTTCTTGCTATTCCCTTCTGGCTTGGAGTGTTTTGTTGAGAAGTCAGCTGCTAACTGTATCAGGGCTCCCTTATATGTTACTACCTCTTTTTCCTTTGCTGACTTCAAGATTCTCTCTTTGTCTTTGATATTTGCCATTTTCATGATGATGTGTCTTGGAGTGGGCCTCATTGGGTTCCTCTTGAATGGGACCGTCTGTGCTTCCTGGACTTGTGTGACTTTTTCTCTTCTCAAAATAAGGAAGTTTTCTATCATCATTACTTTCTCAAACAGAGTTTCTATCCCTTGCTTCTCTTCTTTTCCTTCTGGTATCTCTATTATACAGATATCATCATGTTTCAGATTGTCCTGCATTTCCCTAAATACCTTTTCATTGATTTTTAGTCTTTTTTGCATTTTCTTTCTCTTTCTGGAAAGTTTTTTCTACTTTGTCTTCCAGCTCACTGATTTGGCCCTCTGCTTCATTCAGCCTGCTTTTGATTCCTTTTTCTGTGTTCTTCAATTCAGAAATTGTATTCTTCATTTCCTCTTGTCTCTTGTTGATAGTTTCTATGTCCTTTTTCATGCTGATATAGTTTGCAGTAAGTTCCTCATAGTTTCCCTGTAGCTTTTTTGGTAATTCTCTTTGAGCTCACTGAGCTCATTGAGTGTCCTTAGAACCATTGTTTTGAACTCAGCATCTGGCAGTTTATTTGCCGCTATTTCATTCAGTTATCTTTCTGGGAATTCCTCCTTTCCCGTTGATTGGGGGTGGGTGTTTCTTTGTCTTCCCATTATTTGTGTGAATAACAAAATTTTCTGGTTCTTTTTTGGTTCTTTTTTGCTTCTGTTTCTTAAATTGACCTGCCTTGACTTCCTGACTTTGTGGTGTGACCTTCTATAGTAGTTGACCTGTGAGATTCAGTGATGCAGTCTCCTTGATCTCTTGAACTTGATGCTCTTTAGATGCCTTTTATGCCATTTATGTTGGCTCTCTGAGTATCCATGGAGATATTGCAGAAATCATCCTGGGTTATGGAGCACTCCAGGCACACACATCCCAAGCCAGCGCTTCTTGCTCCCACCTGCACACACACTAAAAATCACTTTTGAAAGGGAAGGTGTTTTATGTCATCGATGAGAATCAGGAAAATACAAGGGGCAGCTGATGGCAATGCGAACACTATGTGAGGCCCTCATGTGCCTACTCTGAAGGAGAATGCAGAGCCATTGTCCTATGTCCAATGTTTCTTGCATCTTGTATCTTCTTCAAAAATGTCTCTATTTTTCATAGTATGTGTCTGGATACTTTCTGGACAGGTCATATGACTTTTATCCTTCGGTTTATTTATATGGTGTATCATGTTAATTGATTTGCAGATATTGTATCAACCTTGAATCCCAGGAATAAGTTCTACTGGATCATGAGGCATGATCTTTTTAATGTATTACTGAATTTGCTTTGCTAATATTTTGTTGAATATTTTTACATCCATATTTATCAAAGATACTGGTGTATAATTTACTTTCTTTCTACAGTCTTTATCTGGTTTTGAAAATAATATAATACTGGCCATGTAAAATAAGTTTGGGAATCTTCCCTCTTCTTAAATTTTTTGGAATAATTTGAGAAGAATAAGTGTTAATTCTTCTTTGAATGGGTGGTAAAATTCACCTGTGAACCATATGGATCAGGACTTTTATTTGTTGGGAGTTTTTTTTATTACCACTTCTATTTCATTAATTATCACTTCCTTTTTCAGGTTTTTTTTCTTATTGATTAGTTTTGGAGGATTGTATGTTTCTAGGAATCTGTCCATTTCTTACCAATTGTCCAATTTGTTGGCATATAGTTGTTCATAATATTTTCTTATAATTATTTATATTTCTGTGGTGCCAGTTGTTATTTCTCTTCTTTCATTTCTTATTTTACTCATTTGGGGTCATTCTCTTTTTCTTGATGAGTCAAGTCAAAGGTTTATCTATCTTGTTTATTTTTTCAAAGAACTATCCCTTGATTTCATTGATATTTTGTAGTATTATTTTATACTGTTTCTTTTATTTCCATTCTTTATTATTTCCTTCCTTCTACTCACTTTGAGCTTTGTTTGTTGTTTTTTTTTTCTAGTTTATTTAGGTATAAGGTTAGATAATTTATTTGAGGTTTTTCCTGTTTTTTGAGATTTCCCCTTAGGAGTGCTTTCACTGTATCCCATAGATTTTGGGTGGTTGTGTTTTCATTTTCATTTGTCTCAAGGTATCGTTTTATTTCTTGATCTCATTGTAAACCCATTCATTGTTTAGTACTATGTTATTTAGCCTCCATGTGTTTATATTTTTTTTCTGTTTCTTTTCTTGTAATTGATTTCTAGTTTCTTTGTGGTGGAGAAGAAGCTTGATATGATTTCAATCTCAAATTTATTGAGACTTATTTTGTGTCCTAAGATGTGGTCTATCTTAGAAAATGTTTCATGTGTACTTGAAAATAATGTATATTCTGCTGCTTTGGGGAATAATGCTCTGAAAATATCACCCATCTGGTCTAGCATGTCATTTAAGGCTGCTGTTTCATTGGTTTTCTGTCTGGAAGATCTATCAGTTGGAATCAGTTGGGGGGTTAAAATCTCCTACTATGACTGTATTACTATTGATTCCTCCCTTTATGTTCATGAAGATTTGCTTTATATATTTAGGTGCTCCTAAGTTGGGTGCATAAAGGTTTACAAGAGTTACATCCTCTTGTTGAATTGATCCCTTTATCAAATATAGTGTTCTTCTTTGTCTCTTACTATACAGCCTTTGTTTTAAAGTCTAATTTGTCTGATATAAATATTGCTACCTTAGTTTTTTTATTACCATTTGCATGAAATATTTTTTTCATCCCTTTACTTTCAGTCTGTGTGTGTGTCTTTCTTTCTGAGGTGAGTCTCTTGCAGACAGAATATGTATGGGTCTTATTTTCTTAATCATTCATCTACCCTATGTCTTTTGATTGCAGCATTTAACCTGTTTACATTTAAAGTATTGATAAGTATGTACTTACTGCCATTTTATTTTTTATAACTATGTTCCCCTTTTTTTTCTTTCTTCTTTTTAAATAAGTTACTTTAACATTTCTTGTAATACTGGTTTGGTAGTACTAAACAGAGTCTTTGTTTTTAATCCATTTTATAATGGCAACTCAAAGAAGATAACTGATCCAAATATATACAGATTCTTGGAGATGTGCCAAAATTTCAAAGAAACATAGGTCCTTGGGAATTCTAATATGAGGTATGTTATTCATAATTTTCAAGGTGGAGAAACTGACGCTGAGAAAAAGATAGGACTTGAGCAAATCATACTGAAGTTACAGCTCTACTTCTTCTCCTGGTGTTTTCCTCCAGTTCTCTGCTTGGATTTCCCTTTGTTATTAATTCTAATTCACAGAGGCTTCCCTTTCTTCCTTCTTCTGTTTCCCATTCTTATTGCCTTTTCTCTTTCTGTTTGTCCTACTGTTTTTCATAAGTTTTAAAAATAATACCTGTGTGGAGATATAATTCACATACCATATAATTCATCCATTTACAGTATATAATTTCATGGGTTTTAGCATATTCAAAGAACTTTGAATAATCACCATAATCAATTTTAAAACATTTTCATCAATTCTAAAAGAAATCCGATACCGATTAACAGTCACTCCCCTTTTACTCACAATTTCCTCAGTCTTTGGCAACCACTAGTCTACTTTCTGTCCTTATGGATTTGCCTCTTTTGGACATTTAATCTAAAGGGAATAATAGAATAGGGGGTCGTTTGTGCCTGGATTTTCCTACTTAGCATAATGTTTTTATGTGAATTCATGTTATAGCATGTACGATATTTCTTTCCTTTATTGTCAAATAACATTTTATTGTAGAGATTGCCACATTTTGTTTATCTCTTAATAACTTGATAGGCACTTGGGTTGTTTCCACTTTTTGACTATTAAGTTGCTATGAACATTCATATACACGTTTTTGTGTGGACATGTGTTTTCAGTTTTTTTAGTTATATCCTAGGAATAGAGTTGCTGGATCCTATGATAACTTTATAGTTAACCTTTCAGGGAACTGCCAGGCTGTTTTTCAAAGTTAGTAAATCATTTTACATTTCCTCCAGCAGTGTATGACAGTCCTAACTTTTCCAGATTCTCCTCAGCAATTCTTATTATCTGTCTTACGATAATAACCACCCTAGTGGGTGTGAAGTGGTATATCATTGTGGTTTTGATTTAAATTTTTCTGATGTCTAATGATGCTGAACATCTTTTCATGTGCTTATTGGCCATTTGTGTACCTTCTTTGGAGAAATGTATTTTCAGAGACTTTCTTCTTTAAAAATTGTTTTGTTGGTCTTTTTATTGTTGAGTTGGTAAGTATTTTTTATATATTCTGGATACAAGTTTTTATTAGACATGATTTTCAGACGTTTTCTCCCCTGTGGGTTGTCGTTTCACTATTTTGATGGTTTTCTTTGATCCACAAAAGTTTTTAATTTAGATGATGCCCAATTTATCTTTTTTTTCCTTTGACTGCTGTGCTTTTGGGGTTATATCTAAGAAATCACTGCTTAATGCAAGGTCAATGATTTAGTCAATTATGCTTGCATAATGAAGGCTCTAGAGAAATCCATGGACTATGAGATTCAGAGAGCCTTTGGGTTGATGAATAAGAACTTATACATATGCCAGCAATGAGTTGTACCCCAAAGCTCTACTAGGACAGATGCTCCTGTGCCTGGGACCCCTCAGGACCTGCGTCTCTATCTGGCTGTTCATTTATATCTTTTAATATCTTTTGTAATGAACTGGTGATCTAGTAAGTAAACTAATTTCCTGAATTTTGTGAGCTCCTCTAGCTGGTTAATCTAACCCAAGAATGGAATCATAGGAATTTATAGCCAGTAGATCAGAAGCACAAGTAAAAACATGGACTTGTGACTGGCCTCTGGACTGGGTGGGGAGCAGTCTTGTGGGTCTGAACCCTTAACCTGTGGGATCCAATAACTTCAGGTAGACAATATCAAAACTGAGTTAAACTGTAGGACACCCTGTTGGCACAGAATTCTTCAATATGGGAAAATCCCATACACATCTGGTCATCAAGGCTTTCATTGTGAGTAGTGTTGTGAGTAGAGAGAAAGAAACAAACAGAAAAGTTTTTCTTTCTTGCAGATGCCAGGACAATTCATTGGGGGTGGGGGTGGGGTGGAATTAATAGTTTCTTCAACAAAAGCTTTTGGGATAATTGGGGATTTATATATAAAAAAGATGAAGTTGGAATCCTATATCACACATATATGAATAGTAACACAAAATAGTCATAAATGGAAATGTAAGAGATAAAACTATAAAACTCTTGGAAGAAAACACAAGAGAATATCTTGATCATGGGTCAGATAATGGTTTTTAGACATGATAACAAAAGCATAAGAGATATAAGAGAAGATGGAAAAGTTGAACTTCATCAAAACTGAAAAAATATTTTGCTGCATATAATATAATCAAAAAAGTTTTAAAAAACTCACAGAATGGGAGAAATATTTGCAAGCCATATATCCAATAAGGTACTTGAATCTAGAATACATAAGTAACTCTTACAGCTCAATAATAAAAAGACAAATAACTAAATTTAAAATAAACAAAAGGGAATCAAGATGGCTGAGGAGTGAGTGGAAGTCACACTGACCTCCTCCCAGTACTAATCTGGAATTACAACTAAATTGTGGAGAAAATGCCTGGAACAAACAACTGAACAATAGTGAGAGAAGAGCCTAATAACCTTGGACAGACAGAAGAATCAGCTTTAGCCCAATAAAATTGGTAAGGAGTGTGGTAGAGACTTGAGAAGGTGGACAGGGCACCCATGGACAGCAGCACCAGAAGTGTATTGAAATGGCCAGTTGGATCGCTTTGAGAAGAGCGGGGTCTAAACCATAAGCAGGGATCTCCAACCTACAGCACCAGAGCCCCAAAAGTACACAGATAACAGCCAACTGCAAAAAGTGGCAGGGTTGTTCTCTGCCAGAGACAGGTGGCTGGAGACACAAGGAGCTGTTTAAAGGGCCAATGCATAACTTATCTGCAGCCACTTACACTGGTCTCTGGCAAAGGTGGGAGCAGAGTGGGCTAGAAATGCCTGAGGAGAGACTGGGGAAGGAGGCTCTGGGGATAGACCTGAGAGAGTAGCTGGAAGGATCCTGGTGCAGACATGTGGCAGCAGCCATCTTGCTCAGGCAGACCACTCCCCTGAGTGGGAACTGCATGAGAGGACACAATAGCTCTGCCCTCAGGAAGGACTCTGTCCTGGTCCAGTAGTGTTAAAGTCTGACTTCTGAGTACAGAGTGGCAGCCAAAGATAGTAGATCCCTGGTTAAAAGGGGAGCAGAGTAGTTTAGAGACACTTGAAGGGAGACTGGAGACAGAGGATTTGGGGAGAGAACTGGGAGAGTAGCTGACAGGATCCTGGTGCTGACTCCTCCCCCATACAGCAGCAGCCATCTGGCTCAGGCAGATCACTACCCTGAGCTGCAACAGCATGAGAGGACTGCCCCCAGGAGGGACTCTGCCCCTCCCTGTGGTGTCTAGGCCAGCCTGCTGAGTGCAAAGTGACAAGATTAACAGCTGAAAGAGACAACCGCAGTCAGTAGATGCCTGGAAGTCTCGAACAGACTGCCTAAGGTCAGACAGGGTCAAGATCTGACATCATCAGAGGCAGATCTAGAAAGAGAAAACAGTGGTCTCCTACCGTAGAAGTTCACACCACAAAGTCAAGAAATCGAGACAGATCAATTTAAGAAGCAGAAGCAGAAAAGAAGAGTCTCACAAATAATGGGAAGACAAAGAAACACCCCCTCCAATCTAAGGGAAAAGAGGAATCACCAGAAAAAAAACTAAATGAAATAGAGGCAAGTAAACTATCAGATATTTAGTTCAAAGCAATGGTTCTAAGGAAGCTCAATGGGCTCAGTCAGCTCAGAGAGAATTACCAAAAACTACAGGAAAATGTCGAGGAACTTACTGCAAACTATATCAGCATGAAAAAAGGACATAGAAACTATCAATATGAGACAAGAGGAAATGAAGGATACAATTTCTGAATTGAAAAAATACTGTAAGGAACCAAAAGTAGGCTAGATAAAGCAGAGGATCAAATCAGTGAGCAGGACGATAATGTAGAAAAAAGCTCCCAGAAAGAGCAAGAAAATGGAAAAAGACTTAAAAAGAACGAAGAGGCATTGAGAGAAATGCAGGACAACCTGAAATGTAATAATACACATATAATAGTGATACCAGAAGAAGAAGAAAAGGAACAAGGGTTAGAAAACCTGTTTGAAAAAGTGATGATGTAAAACTTCCCTAATTGGAGGAAGGAAAAAGTCACACAAGTCCAGGAAGCACAAAGGATCCCATTCAAGAGGAATCCAATGAGGCCCACTCCAAGATACATCATCATGAAAATGGCAAATATCAAAGACAAACAGAGAATCCTAAAGGAAGCAAGGGAGAAAGAGGTAGTATCATATAAAGGAACCCGAATATGACTAGCATCTTACTTCTCAACAGAAACCGTGCAAGCCAGAAAGGAGTGGCAATAAATATTCCAAGTAATGAAAAGCAAAGGCCTGCGACCAAGACTGCTCTACCCAGCAAGGCTCTCAATTAAAGTGGAAGGCAAAATAAGGAGTTTCCCAGACAAAAGAAGGCTAAAAGACTACACCTCCACCAAATCAGCACTGCAAAATATGCTAAAGGGACTGTTTTAAGATGGAGGAAAAGTTTCTATGAATACCCAGTTTCTTTCAGAGTTGCCAATACTTGCTAATACCAATATTTTTAATACTTATTAATCTGATTGTGACAATGATGTGTTATTTTAATTGTTCTTTTACTATTTGTTGAAACTAAACCTGTTCTAGTATATTTCCTGCCTATTTCTATTTAAAAACAAAAAAGCTTTAAATGACTTTTTGGTATTCTTTACCCATTTATTGATTAAAAGTTTGTAGAACTTTTTTCCCTAAAAAAAAAAGCAAACCAAGAAACAAAAAACCTATTAACCATGTTTTAGATGTGTTGCAAATACTTTTCTATTCTATTCCTTGTCCTTTAACTTTTTTATATGTATATTATTATACAGTTAAATGTTTAATATAGTCATATTGTCAATATTTACTTTATAGCTTCTGGGGTTGAATATTTTACTTCAGGTCATGAAAAATATTTGTTCTATTTCCTTCTAAAAATCTTTAGATTGTACATATTGATTTTTAATTCACCTGAATATTTCTTGTATAATGTATGAAATAGGGCTCTATATTTGTTTTATTTCAAGTAATAGTGGTCCATGAACCTTATTTGTTGAATAAACCTTATTTTCCCCATTGACTTGAAATATCAACTTAATCATATATTATATTGATAGATATACACATTTGTTCTCTAGAATGTTCATTATATTTCATTGATACTCTATTATTTCTGTGCTGGTGTCATGTTGGTTTAATTGCTGAGACTTTATAATGGTTTAAAATTTTTAAAATATTTTATTATTAACTTTGACTTAAAAAATAAATAAAATCAATCTGCATTTAAGAAAGAAAGAGAGAGAGATGGAACTCCTACTTTTTGTGACAACATGGATGGAAATGGAGAATATTAAGTTAAGTGAAATAAGCCAGTTGGTGAAAGACAAATACCATCTGATCTCACCTATAAGTGGAATCTATTCAACAAAATAAACTAATGAGCAAAATAAACCGCAGGCATGGAAACATGGAACAGATTGAAAGTGACCAGAGGGGAGGGGGAAGGAGAACAATGGTCGAAAGAAGGGGAAGGGATTAGACAAAGAACATGTATGAATGACCCATGGACATGGACAACAGAGTGGGAATTGAGTGTGAGAGAGGGAGGTGGGGGGTGGTATGTGTGGAGGGGGGTAAAGAGGGAAAAATTGAGACAAATGTAATAGAATAAACATGATTTATAAATTAAAAAATAAATAAAAATAAATAAAATCTTTAAAAAATTAAAATTAAAATTAAAAAAATAAATCCTATGGAAAAAGGAAAAAAGAAATAAAGAAAAGACAGACATTGTCCCAAAGAACATATGGAAGTGGCCAAGAAGCAATGAAAAGTTGCTCAACATCATTAGTTATTAGGGAAAGGGAAATCAAAACAGTGAGATAATACTTCATACCAATTATGATTACTAGCACCAAAATGACAGAAAAAGACAAATGTCCAGATGTGGAGAAATTTGATTGCTCATTCATTACTGGTAATATAAAATGGTACAACCACTTTAAACAGTATGGCAGTTCATCAAATTATTTGTAAACCAAAATTAATTTTAGACTGTTATAAAGAATAGAAGACATTGATTTGTGCCAAAAGGAGCTGCAGTCCAGGAGACACATTTAGGTAACAGTCTAAATTGTGTTCCACCAATGCAAAGGATAAATGTCTTTTATAACAAAAGTTCCTGCCCAGGTTATTAATTAGGTCCATTTTACGTGAACGAGGTATCCAAATTGTACAATTCTGATTGGATAGGTGAGATCTCAGTCTGTTTGTGGAAAGATGAAATGAGAGTTTCCTTTCCTGCAGTGATTGACTCAGATGGTGTAAACAAGCTGGGCATAGTGCAAAAGCCAGAAGCCAAGCATTCCGTCTGAGGTTCTTCCCAGAGTACAGAGTACACAAGAAGCCCTTGTCAGCAAATGGGTAATAGGCTGTTATTGTTTATAAAATTTGGGCCCTCGGTTGACCATGGGGAGTCCATCTCACCAGGTAAATTCCTGCCTCGGGCTTACATCAAATGAATCTTTCTTCTTGGGGTTGACATGTTAAACATAGACTTACCACATGATTTAGCAATTGCACTCTTATGGTGTATGTAAGTGAAATATAGAAAAAGCCAACTCAAAAACTTGTGTAAGAATGTCCACAGTGGCATTAATAGCCAAAAAGTGGAAACATCCTATATGACCAATAACTTAGGAATGGATAAACATGTGGCATATTCATGCAATGGAATATTATTTGACAAGAAAAACAAGGAAGTACCGATACCTGCTGTAAAATTGATGAGCCTTGAAAATATTATGCCAAGTGAAAGAAACCAGTCACAAAGGACCACATATTCTGTGTTTCCATTTATATAAAAAGTCCAGAATAGGCACTTACACAGAGGTAGAAAGTAAGTCCACTAGTCAGCGGTTGCTTAAGGCTGAGGTAGGTGGGAGTAGAATAAGTTTAGGGTGAAATGGAGAATGGCTGATAATGCATATGGGTTTCTTTATAGTGTGAAGAAAATGTTCTAAAATTAGATAGTGGTCATGTTTGGTCAACCCTGAATATTATTTTTTAAAAAATACTGAATTGTACACTTTTAAATGGGTAAATTTTGTCATATGTAAAATGTTTCTCAGTAAAAATGTTAAAAAAAAAAGAAGAGTAAGCCAGTGCCTAGCATATGGTAAGCATTTGATAAATGTAAGCTATAATATTTAAAAAATGTGTCAACCACAATTCTTTGGATAGTGCGGTCTCTCTCTACAGTGGTGAAGTAGAAGGTTGTGTCAAAAATGCCTGAAGGTCTGAGAACATGGGGAAAGGGTGATGGCAATGACAGAAAGAAGGCCCCTGGCAAGGAAACTAGTTTGGGGGTGGAGGAGAAATAGGCATTCTTCTTGGGGCATGTAGAAAGTTCAAGTGGAAATCTCTCCTGAAGACGAATAAGAAAGAAAAGAAATGGATTTTGCCCCTATGACAAGAGAATTTTAGATAAATAAATATAAAATCTTCTTGCTAGTGTGATGAGAAAGAAAAAGTTTTCCTTTCTAATGAGCTGGGGGAGATGGTGAGGTGATTAATACAATGACATTATGTGTAGTGAAGTGATATATTGGATAGTAATGTTTAAGTAATTTTAAAAATTAAACAATGGTCTCATATAGGTGTATTCAGAAGACATATCCTTCACAGCTTCCATCCCTCAGTGTCGTTCTCATGTTCATGAACGAAGCCTTGTCCATTATACAACAGGCCATTACCAGTATCATCAACCTGACCCCCTCCCAACTGTTGAAGGGGATCATCGTGGAGGGCAATTTGAGTTCAAATGGTGAGCAACTTGACCAAAGAATAGTAGTGAAAATGACCATCTATCAACTGTGCTAGGCTGGAAAGGGGTTTTGGTGTAGAGTTTAGGACACTTCGGGCTCCTCATATATGGAAAAGAAAGGGGTCATTTATGGATCCCTATTTGCACTGGGCACATTAATCTTCACAAAGTCAAGACAGAGGATAATCATCTTAATTGCACAGATGAGGAAATGAAGACAGAAAGAACACATCATGTGCCCATATTGTGAGGCCAGTCAGTAGTGGAGCAGAGCCAGGCCCAGGATTGTGTGATTCCAAAGCCACCTGTGCCCTGTCCATGCACCATGGGAGAGACCTGAAGGAGTAACATGGGGTCCAAAGGAGAATCTTGGACACTAAGATCGGATTCAAATCTTTTCTTAGGAAAAAAACAATCTTCCCAGGTATTTAAGCCCAGAGAGAAGAGGAGCTTTGGATGCTGAGACTCTTTAAAGTGGCAATGTCTTTTGCTGGCAGCATGCCCCTCCCCTGCCTGGTCTAACCCAGCCAAGGAGGACACATGGAAAACTGGAAGATAGTGGGTAAACCGGAGTCCTCACTTTCTGGGGTTTCAGAATCCAAGTTCCTTCTTTATAAGTTCTGTGTCTTTGAGTAACTTAACTTCTCCATGCTCCAGTTTTTTTATTTGCACAACATGGATGTTGATAATAGTAACTATTTCATAGACTGTAATGAGAATTAAATGAGATAACAATGGTAGCTAACATGGTTTGTTCTAAACATTGTACTTAGGTGAACTACTTTTACCATTATAAAAATCCTGTGAGGAAGGAGTCACTTCTTTGCTCAATTCTCAGATGCAAAAACACTAAGGCATAGTCTGGTCAAGGAACTTGTTCGGCATCACGCAGCTGGTAAATGGCAGAATTGAGATTTGACCATAAACTTCAGTGTCTAGAGCCCTAGTTCTAGCCACTGTGTTCATTGAAATAATATGTGGTTTATGAATAACATTTAGTACATAGTAACCACCCAACAAGAGTTAGTCCTTTGTTTTATTAATTTTGGGCATCAAACAAAAGAAATTAGAATTAAGTCACAAAACTAGAGAGTGGGCTAGCAATAAGGAGGACATTTCTAATAGTAAGGGCTGTGGAATGGCAGCCTGTGGGTGGAATAGTTTCTCCTTCTCTGAGCATCTTTAAGTACCAGACAGGTTATTGCAGCTTCAAATTAGGGGTACTTTGACCTGAGGAGAAGAGACAAATGACCTCTTACACCTTCTTTTTTTTTTTTTTTAATTTCCAGCCACTAAAACCACTCCTTTTCATGCTTTAATACCTTCCTCTCTTGTCCTTCTAAAATAACTGCACAAAAAATGAGAAGGTACAATTCTTAAACAAAATTCCACCAAAAACCAAAGAAAAGAAAATGGCTGACTTCATTAATTTCTGGGGGTGGTGATCAATATAAACTTGCAAACCTGGTTTTCAAGCAAGAAATAGGAGCTTAATTAGGAAAGCCTCCGTTCTGGACACCTGAAGAGACTCCACTGTCCAGCTCTCTGAGATGACCTGAGTTCAGTCACCTCACCTCTCTGGGACTCAGCTTCTTCATGGGGCAAATATAGGGGCTAAATTGGAGGACCTCTGAAGGTATCTTTTCCTATGGGAAAAAAAAATCAGTGTATCCATCAGTCCACACTCCATGTGGAGCAGATAAGAAATAATTCAAGACTTTTTCATGTGGAACAATGAAATCAAAAGATACAAGATTACAGACATAGGGTAGACACATAACAAAGCCCTCTATATTTCTACATTGTGCCTCCATTGGATAACATATCCTTCTCACACCGGTTGGGAACTCGTTTATGTTTTCCATAGAGATAGTTTATTTGAATGGGCACAGAAGAGGGAATTGTTAATCATTTTTTGACTGTTGTCACTGGGACAAGAATCAGCATTTCTCTCATTAACCATGGAAGCACTGGGTAGATTAGGCCTACACTGAACATAACTCCAAAATCTATTTTGTATTAAATTGAGAAAAATAATTGGAAGTCTCTACCATGCATGCCACAAGAGAAACTTACTATTCATGTGACTTTGAGGGTAAGTCACTCAGCTACTTTACACTCCCTTTTCCTCATTTGTGACCTGGGGGAAATAATAGCGCCTTCCTGATAGGACCATTCTGGGGATTAAATAATACATGTAATATCCTCAGAACAGGGCTTGCTCCCAATAAATATTAGCTAGCATTATTACTCCTTGTTTATTTCAGTATCATTTATAGAACTGTTGAAATGCTACAACCTGGTATTAGAGATATACCCCCTTCCTATTTTTCCCTAGATGTAAAAAATCTTAATTTGCATGAGGTTGAATATTTTAATCAGCTCTTTTTAGGTCAGCAGAGGTAACCTAAGTTTTTCAGAAATTAATTTAATGTAGACAAATTCCACAATCAACAACTATTGAGTTTCTACCATGTGTCAGGCTTTAGGCATGGAAGAGAATGTCAGTGATTTCAAGAAGTTCCCATTTTAATTGATGATGCAAGGCAATCCTATGAAAAGATACCACAGTGTATGAAAAGTAGTGTGTAAAACTTAGTGAGTTGTCAGTGAGTGTAAGAAAGCCCAGAAGTGGTTGGGATGACCTAGGAAAGTTCCCTGGAGGTGGGGACCTTGGGGTTGGGCTTGAAAATTTGGTAGGATTTGAAAAGGCAAAGAAAATAAAGGAAGACTGGTTGTGGTGGGAAAAGACAGTGAGTGGAGGGAAAAAATGTGAGCAAAGATGCAGAAGCTAGAAGCACCCTGAGTTAACTAGCCTGAAATAAAAGTTTTTTGGGGAAGTGTGGGGGGTGCAGTACCAGCTAGAGAGCAAGATTGAGAAGGGGGCATAGGTTTACTTTAGAAGGGCCATAGAGCATCCTTAATTCTTATTCTGGACTATAAGCATTATTTCTGACAGGGTGATTCAGAATTTACAACTCATAGAATTTTGGAATCAGAAGGATACTGACATGTTATCCAGCCTTCTCTGAGTTTTGGAAACAGATCTCCAAATGGGAAGTGACACAGAATTAGATAGTGAGGGAACTCAAATTACAGCCTAGATATCCAGAGTCTATGGCAAATCCTCCCCTCCCCTCTTCCCTTCCCTTCCCTTCCCTTCCCTTCCCTCTCCTCCCCTTCTCCTCTCCTCTCCTCTCCTCACCTCTCCTCTCCTCTCCTCTCCCCTCCCCTCCCCTCTCCTTTCCTTTTCTCCCCCTACCCCCCCGACTATTTTGGTTTCCACGTTTAAATCAAGAACTCATGTAAAATATTCCAGATAAATGAGTTTTTATCCTCATCTTTTTTCTTTTTTTCATCTTGGTTTATCTGACACTAACATAATTCCTAACTCTTCACTGTTAGCAGCTACACGCAACCAATCACATAAATTGTTCTCAAATATTTTTTTGGAAAAAGGAACCTCAGAAATTAAAGTAATCTTGATCTTGCTCTTTTTAATAGTTGTAAACCCACCACTGAGAGTGCCAGATTTTCTACTCTCTTTAATTCTTTCTTGAAGATATTTTTCAAAATTGGCAGAATTCATGATTCTGTATGCTGCAGGGTAGGAGCAATCAAAGATAAACTCCAGAACCTGCTCCTTTGTTTTCGCCCTGCTTTGCCACAAGCTTTTGCACAGATGCTATGGTGGCAGCAGAGGCAGAAAAAAAATGTGTCAATCCCTTCTGATTTATTTCTAAAAGTGGCAACTGAGTGAATACATGGAGTTTCCACCTTCTGTTTCTTTCTGTAGGAGCACACATTCTTCAGGCTCTCCATTGGCTCTCTTTAACACCTTCAATAATTGAGTCAGTAGCCCTGGAGTGCAACAGGGAAAGTTCTAAAATGGGTAAAATTTTTTGTACCATAGTCATCTCAGTACTGATTCTAGGCCCTGACCACTCCAGGACTCACAAATCTACTCTTCCTCTGAGAAAGAGACCAGAAAGAATCTCATCTCTTAGCCATGAGGGATGGGGGTTGGGGGGAGGAGCTGGAGGGGAATCTTGAAAAACCCAACCAGGCATATACATAATTATTGAGGCAGCATGGCATGGTGGTCAAACATAGCATGGGCCCACACCCAGGTGTGCCACTTACTAGATGTGTGACTTAAACAAGTTTCTTAACCTCTCTGTGAGTCAGTTTTTTCATGTGCAAAGTGGGGATACAGAAGTGCCTTCCTCATAGGGTTCTTTGAGAATTAATTCATATTATCAGGGAGTCCTTTGGTTAGATACTTTAAACACTGCTTAGTGATTTGCATCCAAGTGGTTTTCATGCATATGTGAAATTCAATGGGTAGGCTCAGCCAAAGAACAAATGCATAGACAGGCTTTATAAAGGAGAGGAGAGACGGGGAAGAAAAATAGCTGTAAGTAAGCTGGGAATAGTGAATCTTGCTTCATGATTTTGGGGATAAATTCATTAGCTAGAGGTTGGAAAAGAGATGAATCAGGGCATTTGTCTCAACTGGCCCTTGGGTAGGCAAAGTAAGAATAGCTAACAGATGACAAAATAATTCCACTTGTTTATATATTCTCTAGAAAATCTTGAGTGTTTAACTGCGGAGGAGATATTATAAATTGTCTGCAATATCTGACCATCAGTACTTCTACCTTAGTTAGGTCAGGTCTGTCCTATTCATTCTTGTTAAAATTTCTCTATATACATAGAGCTTGTATAACAATGTCTAGAACATAGTGAGCAGTATTATTATTTTAAGGTAGTTTAACTTTGAGGGAAAGAGATCAGGAATGGTACTATTAAGCCTGAGGATGGAATGGAGAGGAGAGGTAGTTGCAGGGGAAATAGTCAAGACTGTAGAATTGCTCATCCTAAGCTGTAGATAGTTAAACCACTACTATATGTAGAATAGTACAAAATTTCTGTACCAAATTGATTATTGCACTTAGAATTTCTATAGGTGTGCATTTCATTGGCAGGAGAACTAAAAGGAAATTTGGATGAGAATATTAAGCTTTACAACCAGAAGTATCCAGGACTACTGAAAATAGCCCAGCAGACAAGGAGAAAAGGTCTTGCTCAAGTATGAAACACTGACTGTGGAAAGTGGCCACAGCTGGCGTGGTTGCCATCTTGGATGCTTATGTTGAAGTGAACATTGGTTGGTAAGTCTCCAGGAGATTTCTTCCCCTGAAAACGGGGAGAAAGGAGATATTGTACATGCTGAATACAAGATAGGATAGTGTAGAAATAGGGAAAGCCAACACCAGACCTTAAACAAAGGGCAGCTACTAAGATGGGATGCTTTTACTCAAGGACTTTGGTTGGCTAAGGACAGCTATCTAGCACTGGAGAATGGTCTTGGCTGTTGACGCTGATCCCAATCCTGACTCTACCAAATATTCTGTGACTTTGAAGACATCACTTCACCTAACTTGATATTTATGTCCTTATCTAATGAAGAGATTATATTTTGGTAATTCCTAAGATTTTCCCAGCCCTGAAATTACATGATACAAAGACAGCCGTGCTCTTTGGAGAATGTAGAAAATCAGACAGTAAAGAGTTATCATTTTGAAAATATTTTGGAAAGAGATAACATAAATTCAGACAGAATAGTGATGGTCCTGGTTTACAGTGGCTTGTGGGTAGTATTTGGGTACTAATTTCAAATATACTTTTGACATGGGTTAGCTTCTAGCGTCCCCAGCTATCCCAAAAGCTGCAAAGCTCTTCTGGACTCTGGAGAGTTCCTCCCACCACCCAGCACAGCCTAAATGAAGAAGGTGCTCAAGGTCAGGGCAAGCTGCTTGGACCAGCTTTGTCCGCTTGCTTCTGCTGCCTACCCTCATATCCAACCTGGGCTTCTGACACACTCTTCTTCTAGGGGAGAGCCTATCTTGGCTCAGATTTAGGAAGACCACACTGTGATTGTGTTGCCTGTGTTTGACACCTTTGAACTGACTAGGTACGAATTGACGGCTGATTGGTTTAACTGGGAACTTTGGTGCCACTATGATTTACTGCCAAGGGTCTGGATTTATCTGAATTATGTCATTGCACCAGTGCAGTAAGTTTGAGAGGGCTCAGGAACTTGCTTAGCACATGGGAAGTCAGGCATAAATGGTGTGTAATGGAAGTAATGGAAGAAATGTGGGAGAGATTAGGGACAGGGATGACAAAAAAAAAAAAAAGTAAAAAAGGCTGATCTTAGGTAAGATATCATAGACACATAAGACTATTTTAGGGCTTTCAAGCAAACCAAAGCAAAGTTATGTTTTAGAAAACATTTGGTCCATTTTGAGCATTTATTAAGCTATGAAGTAGGGATATCAAGATGAAAAAGATGTACTTTTAGTAAAATTTGAGAAAGTTTATGACAACAGAAGGTGAGGAAAGGTTATACACACTTAGTCCAGCTGGAGGGTTTAGGGAAATCCTACAGGATCAGGGGATTGGGTCAAGTTTCAAAGCACAAATCATCACTGGCTTCTTGCCCTCACCTCTATCCTAACCCACCCATTACGGAGAGGTTAGTAACTTTCTTTGTGCTCCACAGGAGTCTTTCCATCCTGGACATCTTGGCTGCCAACAGGCTCTTCCTGGGAAAGATCAGATCTGTGGATGGTAATCTATGGAAGAGAGAATGTGGAACTTAGCCTGAGGGTGGGTACATTTCCACTCTTTTTATGAGACAAAGCAGAGAGAAATAAAGGAGAGTGATAAGATCACTGGAATCCTGGAAGAAGGCTGAATGTCATTGGCTCAAGAGGTGGACAAATCCTCATGTTTCTAGGTCACCAGACAGAGGCAATGGGATTGGGGAGTGTTCTTGGGTGTAGGTCTATGTAATCTGGGACACATGAGTGGAAAGGGGTAGAACTGAGGCTCAGCAGATGGTGTCCCTATTTCCCTTGAGGAATCCAGACATTTTTCAAGCGTCTCTTAGAATAAAACAACTTGGTGGCAGACAGCTCTCTACAAGACCAATGAAAAACTGGGCAGAGGAACCAGGGGATTCAGATGTGTGGGTAGCCAAAATTGTTCCTGAATGGACAGCTAGAGCAACTGACATAATGTCATAAGTTCATGCTGAGATGTGGTCTAGTCTAGGACAAACAGCCAGTGATGGGTTCTACAGCAACAGAGTTCTCAAACCACTTCTAGTTCTGGCCAGCCTTTGGTGCACTGGCTTCTCACTTCAGATGCCTCTTCTCTGCCCTTGACAGCTTCTCATGCTTTCTCAGGTCAAATGTACATCCTGAATTATTGTGTTTTATAAGGGAGTTCAGGGTACAAACTAAAATGATTGGAGAAATGCCAAGAGCAAGTTTGTATTATATCAGTGTATCAGTTAGCTATTGCTACAAAAATGCTGGGTAACCAAGCACCCCAAACTCAGTGACCTTAAAAAAACAAAAAAGAAACCAACAAAAACCAGAGGGAGTGAAGGAGATGGGTAGCAGGGAAGGGAAGGGGAAGAGTCAAATCAAGGAACACGTATGAAGGATACATGGACGGAGCCAAGGTGGGGAGGGATTGAGGGAGGGAGGTGGGGGTGGGAGGGGCAGGGGAAAGTGGTGGTGGATAAATGGAGACAAATGTATCTGGACAATAAAAATTAAAAAAAATATATTATTTACCCTTCAAAAAAAAAACACCACCACACTAATTTATTTTCAGAGATCTGCAGGTCCAGCTGGAGTTTGATGGGGGTGGTTCTTAAGGCCTCATTTTGGAACTAGTGTGTTATTTTTTTCTGCCCTATCCAATTTGTCAAAGTGCATCTTACAGCCAAGCCCAAAGTCAGTGGGTGGGGAATGTCTTCTACCTACAGTGAAGCCATGAAGAATTAGGACCAATAATTTCAACCCATCATGATCAGTTTGAAATAGGTTTTATGTAAAATATATTCCTTCAATAGTATTGTTTTGTGTCTTCTGAATAATCTACAGTCCTTATTTAAAAAGACCCTGACTCTTGGGTTTGTGACTATTTTCATTAGTTTACCCCTCTTTCATTTTCCAGACTAAGGTTGAACTTTTTAAAAAATTCTCACCCAAGGATATGTTTATTGACTTTAGAGAAAAAGCAAAGTTGGGGAGGGGGAGAGGAAGAGAGAGAGGAAGAGAGTCATTGATGGTTGCCTTTTCTACATGTCCTGACTGGGGATTGAAACCAAAACCTAACTATGTGCCCTGACAGGAGATCAAACCTGCAACATTTGGTGTATGGGAAAATACTCCAATCAACTCAGCCATCTAGCCAGGGTCTAAGGCTGAACTTTTAAAAGAGGGTACGTAAGAATAGTGAAAATTACACAGGTATTAGACTCCAAATATTAAGTCCAAATCCTATCTTTCACTAGAAAGTTTGTGTTATCCTGGACAACAAGCTCTCTAGGCTATACCTGCTGCATCAAGAACATAACATGAGGCCCTGGTCAGGTAGGTCACTTGATTAGAGCGTCATCCTGATACACCAAGCTTGTGGCTTTGATTCCCAGTCAGGGCACATACAAGAAACAACCAATGAATGCATAAATAAGTGGAACAACAAGCTGATGTTTTTCTTTCTATTTCTCCATCTAAAATTAATTAAAAAAAAACACAACAAACCTAACATGATGAATGACACATGGCTTCTGCTCAATGAAGAGTTAATAATGATGTCAAGATGGTGTTGTAAAAAATGCTGGACCTAGGTTTTAACCCTGGCTCTGCTAACTCTCTGTGGACTGAACTTCTATAAAATGGCTGGCCCCCTTCCCAGCTCCAAAATTCTGTGCCTGAGACCAGGTGACCTTTGGTCCATTATGGTTTCTGGAGGAACAAGACAATTTTCTGTCTAAAGCTTATTCTGGCCTATGCCCATCAGTTTCATGACCACATATTGTATCCACTTGGGACACAAACAGGGCCCCACATATATATGTTATCAAATTAAGTTTTAGTCTGGGTTGTCCATTAAGCCACAACCATTCTTTGGCAGAAAGAACTATTTTTTTTGCCTTGTGGTCTGGATCACCTTTCCTATTTTTGAAATGAAGAGAAGTGTCCTTGTTTTAACTGCCTCATGGGAGCAATCATGCAGTTAAAATTAAATAAATAATTTTACATGATTTTATTAAGATATGAATTAGAATTCTTGTTTGACTTCTGGAACAGATTAAAAAAATAACAGGTTTAAACAAAGTAGAAATTAATTTCTCTCTTTCATAACTGTTTGAGCATCAGTACTTCAGGACTGAGATGGCGGCTCCAGGGTGACAGGGACCAAGACTCTCCCATTTTGTGGTTCTGCTATACTCAACATCACATCTGTGTTCTAATTAGCAGGAAGAGAAAAAGGGGGAAAAGAGAGAGTATGCCTGTTTTTAAAGGGCTCTCCATGCAAGTTGTGAATATTGTATTTCATTGGCCACTACTGCTCATACGGCCCCATCTATATGCAAAAGAGCCTGGGAAATGTAGATTTTAGCTAGTTGGTTATGCACCCAATTATTCCTTTTATGACTATAGCTATATGAGGGGATAGGTATTGGGAGTACTGCTAGTCCCTAGCACAAAGAAATGTAAACACAAAAGTAATTATTTTATGTATGGTACTTAGCAGAGTCATGATGATGAGTTACACTGGGGCTGGGGCATTCCTGCTTATCAGAGTTTCCTGTGAATTTGGCTGGAACTCTGATTCCTGACCTAGGACCCAGAGCCCTTCTTCTTGTTTCTGAGCTCTTTGTGCTTTCTTCTGCTCTCCTTTTCTGCATCTTGACTGCCTTTCCCTGTTTCCATTTCCCTGTCCCACATGTCAAACTCTGCCATTCCAGTTCCCAGAGAAGTCTTCTTTCTTTTAATATTTTGTGATTTTTTTAATACAAAGTTTGCTGGAAAAGTAGGGAGTGTCAGGGAAGTGTCATTCTTTTGCTGTTCTTGGATAAAATAGTTTACCCACATTCAGATTCCTGCGTTTACGTGTGTGGTCATTTGCCTTTCAAAACCTTTAAGCATTTGTTAGGATCTGTCTTTCCCCAACAACAGATCTTGGAGAACATCAGAACTGCATGGAGTGTTTTATTCTGACATCTAGAGGCCACAGTAGTGATGTTGTGCATGGATGGGTATAAATGGAGATGGAGCAATGGGTCTGATGGGCAAGAACAGAAAACCAACATTTGTCAAGTGCTGTGTGAATTCTTAGTGGTGTGCTAAAGCTTAACATGTGGACTGGACTGCCAGAATGTCAAATCCAGCCTGTCATTCACTCACTAGAAAACATGGACAAATTACTTAAGTGCAGATAATAATAATACCTACATGGTGAGGGTTAAATTAATGAAAAATACTAATTTGTGAAGGTACTTAATTTGTGGCACAAATTAAGCCATTGCTATCATAAACAGAAGATTCATGTCTGTATGTGTGTGTCAAGGGTGGGGGAGGGAGCTCTTTTCAAGTGGGAATAAATTGAGAGAATAAAATCTGAAAAGTGTTGGTCAAGGATAACAGTAATATTACTTCATAAATATCAATTTTGACTTTTATCTTTTCACTTTAATTTAAGGTTTCTTGTGTCAATAGTTAATTTTTCTCTTAAATTCCTGTGGTTTGGAAAACTCCTTGAACTGGAAAGATTGAGGTTGGATTTTTAAATGTTTGGCTACAGAAAAATCTGTAGAACAAATTACCTGTAGCTTCCACATGATTCTAGGAACTAATGAGGGGAAATGGAAGAAGAGGTGCTTTGAGTTCATAATCATAGATGCTGCTGTTCCCTGAGCATATGTTATGTCAGTCATTTAATCCACCTGACAACCCACATGGTGTCTGTGATTGTCGATGAAGAGTGCTTCGCTCCAAGTCATCAGGTGTGCAGTGACAGGTTTGAACACAGGCCAGCCTGACTTCAAAGCTTGGCTTTTTTTCAAGAGTCAAGGGAAGGGAATCTGTGGCTTCAGAAGCTGAGGAAGGGATGAAAGAGCTGAAGATCAGATAAGGGGACGGGGTCCTCAGGTGGTTAAGTGAACCAGCAGGACTTAAGTTGCTCACCTCTGTTTCAGGGGCTCTACAAGCATGAGTGCAATAGGTTGCTAACTGCTGCCAAATAAGCTAATTATCTCCCCAAAATTATACTCAGACAACTATGAAGAGAAGACACTAGAGGCTTGAATCAATCTCATAGCATTAGATAGTTTTACCATCTACCAGGACCTAAACCACATATTTAAGTGAAATATTGGACTGTGTAGTCTGACAAGTATGTTTGTTCCCGTCAGGATGACAAGAAAAAAATATTTATAGTTATATCATAAGTCATGGTATCTTTTAGTCAAGAAATACCTGTATTAGTTGTCTATTGCCAGTAGTAATAGTATTACCACAAAATTAGTGACTTAAAGCAAGACATGTTTATTATCTCACAGTTAAAGTGGCTCAGGAGTCCATTCCTGGCTGGGCTGCATCCTCTGAAAGGTTGCAGACAAGGCTTTGGCCAGGGCTGGGTTCTCATGCAGTCGGGACCCCTCAGTGTAGACCTTCACAGCTGAGATATCCTTCCTGATTCTTAATCAACACTTGTGGGTGTGGGACCAGCCTGTTCTGTATCTACATCCCTCTCGCTAGTCTTGGTGTGGCTCCTTTCTGTTCTGCTAGTCTTCAGGTGGTTCTCAAGGGTTGTTGTTCTATAATTTAGTTGTTTCTTTAATGTGGTAATAGGAGGAGGTGAGCACAGAGTTTACCTTGGGTAGGTTTTATTTTTATTATTCTAAATTTACAGATGAAGAAACTGAAGCACAAAGAGTTGAAACAAACTTGTTTAAGGTAATAGGGTATTAAGTGATAGAGTTAAGATTCATCCATCATCAAGTCACTGTCTTAGCAGGACATAAACATGGTAGTCAGGATGTGGGAAGGTGGGAATAAGGACTGTAATCCTGTTGGATGCATGTGAATGAAGATGACCTTCTTGGCTAAGGCCATACTATTGTCCCTGCCACCTGAGGCCAGTGGGATTTGCTCTCTTCTGTTTCTGAGCTGTGGATCTGGCCTCGTTCTTTTACTTTTATTCTCCACAGATATCACTTTTAGAAATGTCCTTTAACTTCCAAATCATGCTACCAAAATATTCCTTTTGAAAGCCTTTTCTGGCAGTCATGAGTAGTATTTTGTATCTTATTGATGTAAATGTTATCTCTAACAGAAGCAGCCTGTATCAGCTTGCTAATGATGAGAAGTAAACCCAAGGGATCCAATTACACAGGCCTTGCAAGTGTCTTTGAAACCAAAAGGGATTCCTAAGGTTCAAGCTTTTTTCACTTTCCCTGGAAAATTGTAAATTATCTAGGTTACTTTACAGGCCATCAGAAAAATACCCAGTTTCCTCAGGCATCATCAATACCCTTTAGAAACACTCCATGTTTTATTTACAGAACTCTGGAATCGATTATGGACACACATCTTCCAGAATGGCACTCCGGGAGAAACTGAAATGTAAACCTTTTGACTGGTATCTGAAAAATGTTTATCCAGCCCTGAATCTAATCCACAACTCTGTGGACTACAGAAAAGTAAGTATTATGGAATTACATTTCAGATTTTAAATATTTCACTATAACAGACAATGAAACCTGAATCACAAGACTACCCAAAACAGGGTTTCCAAAACCCTTCCTGCCCAAGATTCCTTTTTTATCCCCAGCTCCTTCCTTGGCTTTTTGCCCTTGGACTCTGTCAGTTTCCTTTTGTCTCTTGCTCCCTGGTTCCCCTCTCTTTTTCCTTTGCATACTGCAGCGCATGCTCTGACCCTCCCAGTTTCTCAGCCAAGCAGGATCTTTGGCCTTGCCCACCTGAATGCAGGCATGATAGACCCTTCTCTATATGTGCTGGCATGGTCGAAGGGGTTGGGTGTTCCCAGGGAGTGGGCATCACATCAGTGCCTTACTTTAGCATTTGCCTAGTGCTTAGAAAATTGCTGCCAGGATACCAAAGTGCTGGTCCCTTTTGCTGGTCATTTCTGGCACCCTTGGAGTACCAGAGAAAATGCAGGGCCTGGGGAGTTTTGAGGGCCCTCTTTCTCTGATTCTTTCCAACAGTGTTGTCATGTCTTTTCAAATGAAAAACCCATTGGATGAACATATATGCCTGGATCAGGGACCTATTCCAGGCAATACACTTGTCATGTATTACTGTAATGAATACAGCCCACAGGTATCTTCCACAATCTCTTTTTCCCAGATAGGATGAGTCTGTTGAGGCTCAGCCTATAGCAACCTTTGCCAGATTTGAACTCAGTGTTAGATGATGGGGAGGCAGGAGCTAAGCATCCTGGGTAACGAGTCGTGGTGGAACCCAAACCTGTACTTGTAACTAAGCACTTCCAAGTTCATTCAAAAAGTCATGGCAAGACAGTTCTATTTCAGGTACAGGTAGGCTATGTAGAAAGGCTCTGATCTGTTGCATTCATTCTCTATGGTAATATTTTCATTGGCAATAACCTTCAATCTCCTTTTTCCCCCTCTTCACACTGCCTCCCTGCACCCTCTCACTGTTCCTTGTGTGCCTGGAAGGTGGGCAGGTGAACAGAGGGCTAGAGAAGAGAGAGGCAAAATGGAAGTCCCTCCAGGGGAGAGAAGAGATCTGGCACTAAGTGAAAGGTGTAGCCAAGGGATTTCTTTTCCTTTAGACTACTCACATCTGTCGTGTTACTTTGCATGTTGCCCTCACAGGAACCTTTTGAGGGATGCAGGATAGATAGCATTTCCATTGGACAAATGGAAAAAAAAAATGGGACACAAAACAACCTTCTTGTTCAAACTCACTGAACAAGGTAGGGTCAGATTGAGAATTTGAAAGGTTTCATGACAACAAGCTCATAGCTGAGGCTTACAATGACAGCTTATACAGTTCATTTGTGGGTTTTGGGTTTTTTTTTTCAAAGATAAGCTCCCTCATCCATACAAACCATGATTCTGTTGGGTGCCCTGCATGGGAGGAAGCTGGCTAGTGCTCCCTCCCTCATGCCTGGCCTTCTTCCTAAAATCAACTGGGGGTGGGGGAAAAGAAGCAAAGGGTGGCTCCCATGGTGACAGAGTGTCTAGAGGACTCATGAGCATTCTCTATGTCCACTACACAGCCAAGAACGTCCCCACTGACTGTCCATGGCAGACCCTTTTGCTCTCTTTTAAAATGTCTACTACTGCCTAACTGGAGAGATGTACGTGGGACAACTGATTGCAGAGGCAGGTATTGATGATCACTGTCTGACAGACCCTGGCAGTGGGGAGAAGCCCACTTTACAGCCATGTTCCAAGGCAGTCAAAAATAGACTGCACATATTTGGGATTTTAAACTGATCACATACTTTTAAAAGGGTAGATATATTCAAGTATAACCTGAGAGGTTCAGATGTGATTTGATAGTGTTTTAGAAAGATTAATTGTGTTGACTTGTATAGGGAAAACATTAGAAACAGAGAACTGGGTATGAAACACTGAGTCTGTTGACTTAAGTTGGAGATGGCTTAAGGAAAAGAAATATGGAATCTGTTATAGCTTAATCGTTAAGAATTTGGTTTAGAATCGTAGTTTAGCCACATTTAGCAGTTTTATTACCTTCTCTGAGACAATATGCTCATCAAAAAATGGAGATGATAATAGCAACTTTATGGGTTGTGAAGATTAAATGAGATAATGTGTGTAAAGCATTTTAGCATATACAAAAAGCATATTTAATATATATTAGCCATTGTGATCAGTTTTATCTTTGATGATAATCAGAGAGTCTGGAGCACTAGGCTGAAATTTGTCACGGACTATATAAAAGTCTTTTTTAAAAATAATTTATTTATTGAGAGAAAAAGGAAGAAGAGAGAGAAACATTGATGTGAGGTAGATACATCAATACATTGCCCCTCACAGGCCCAACACTGGGGACTTGGCCCACAACCCAGGCATGAGCCCTGAGTGGGAATCAAACTGGTTACCTTTCAGTTTTCAGGCCAACACTCAATCCACTGAGCGACACTAGCCAGGGCTAAAAGTCTTGACTTTAACTTCAGTATCAGTTGACCAAGAACAAGGTGAGGTAATCTGGCAGAATTTACGTGACAATGACATGAACATTGTTTATGTGTCTATGTGTGAATTTACTGTGTGATAGGGCTGCATTAAGCCACACTGGCAGGAATGTGATATTCTAATGGAGGGAGGCAAGGCTTCATCTATGAACATACCTACCTCTGAGCGTGTTGGTAGTATATAAAGTTCAAAAGCCACAAATAAAAAGACATGGACAATCTAACTCAGTAATTCCTAATTTAAAGCTAATAACATTTTTGAGAATCTGCTGCAAGCTATGGACTATCTCCAGAAAAACATTTATGTGGACATATATGCACAATTTTGCTTACAACTTCAGAGGATTTTTGAATTGTAGATTAAGTCTCTTTGAAATAGACAACATCAGTGAGAAGGAGAAGGAGGGTAAGTCCTGTCTTCCTGCTCTAAGCTCCAACTGTATGGAAATACATGTAATTCTGTGAAAGATCATGCTTCTTCTTATCTTTTGGAAGCATTGTTCCCTCTTCTCCAACCTCTTCGTTGGGCCAAATGCAAAGTGTTCCTCTGGATTCTCCTTGTATTATCAAGTTCCATCTTGTTTCATTATCTGTTCTAATTGCTTCCTCACTTGCTTCTTACCATCACTAAGATGTAGGTTGGAGGACAGGGCCTGGTTTTGTTTGTTGTTTTCTCTCTAGCATTTAACGCAGTGCCTGAAACATTACAGGCATTCAAGAAATGGTTGCAGAACAAATAAAAGATTGTCAGACCTGGAGGTATTGGTTAGAGGAGAGGTGAATCTAGAGAAAAGGCGATGCTGGGTTCATGAGAAAAAGAAAGTAGACTTGTTCAGTGTCCACAAGAGGGCAGAACTAAGACCTGTTGTTGGAAATCAAGGAGTTTGATTTAACATAACAGGCAGGGGGAGGACTTTCTAACAGTCTAATGGCTTAAGCTATCTTAAAAAAGAGCATCTGGCAGGCCTAGTGTAGATAATGTGAGTTTCTGACATCCTTAGTGGTATCTTTTGAGTGCAGAAAATACAAATAGAGGTTTACTTTTGTTTAAAAAACTAATATTAAATTTATTGAACTTATAAATTAAAGAACTCTAGTTTTCCTTTAAGCTTTTATGTTCTGCTTACAAATCTTGCTTTATCCATAAACCTATCAAGTTTTAACAATCACTTTTTAAGTATCAAATCCATATGGCTCTTGTTGTTTTTCATGTTTTATTATATTATCTATTCTAGTACTGTGTTGAATAAGAGTGGTGAGAGTAAATATACTTGCCTTGTGCCCAAATGCAGGGAGAAAGCATTGAGTCTTTCACCATTAAGTATAACATTAGCTGTATATTCTTTTGTAGATGCTCCTTATCAATTGAAGTAATTTCCCTATGTTTCTAACCTTTTAAGAATTTGTTTTTCAAATATGAATTAGATTTTGTCAAATGCTTTTTCTGTGTCAATTGATATGATTATGTTTTTTCTTCTTTAGCTTAGTGATATGATGGATTACACTAATTTTCAAATATTGAACCAGTTTTATATATCAGGAATAAATCATAATTAGTCATGGTATATACTTTTTACATACTTTGCTGGATTTGCTTTGTTGGTATTTTGTTGAAGATTATTGTGTCTAAGTTTATTAGAGATAATGGCTTTCAGCCATTTTTTTTTTTTTTTTTTTTTGGTACTGCATGGTTTTAGTATTGGCCTTATAGAGTGAGATGGGTATTGTTCTTTCTTCCTATTGATAAAATTTATCCTTTTGACAAAAATTATAGAATAGATCAATTTCTGTAAGAGATGTTTTCTGTAAAAGTTTGTCTTAAATTGGTGTACAACAAGGTACTAAAATTCTAGCCAATATAATCCTTCTTTAAAATGCTTAATATACTTATTCGGTGAAACCTTATGGACCTGGAGAATTCTTTTTCAGGAGTTTTTAAATCATGAATTGAATAATTTTTTTAATGGTACAGGGCTATTCAGATTATTTTGCTTTTTTTCCCATTATTTATGATGATCGAGTTTTTGTTGTTTAAGGTTTTTGAGGAATGATCCCCTTTCTTCAAATTTTTTAGCATAAAGTTATTTGTAGTGTTCTCTTTATTTTTTATTTTTATCATTAAGGTATAATTGACATATTACGTTATGTATTTCAGGTGTACAACACAATATACATCATTTGTGTGTCTCTTACAAAATGATTACCACACACAATATGTTTAGTTAGCATCCATCATCACACATAGTTGCAATTTTTTTTCTTATGCTAACTTTTAAGATCTACTCTCTTAACACTTTAAAGAGGATTTTGCAATTTAATAAATTTCCTTAAACATTATAGGCTATATTTATAAATTTAATACATTCCATTTTTTCTTTTTTTAAATGATTTAAATGATTCTATTTATTTACTTATTTTTAGAGAGGGGTGGGAGGGAGAAAGGGAAGGAGAGAAACATCAATGTGTGGTTACCTCTCATGTGCCCCCTACTGGGGACCTAGTCTGCAACCCAGGCATGTGCCCTGATTGGGAATCGAACCTCAACCCTTTGGTTCGCAGGCCGGCATTCAATCCACTGAGCCACACCTGCCAGAGCTAAACTTTTTTTCTTAAGAAATTCAATAACCTGACTTCAAAATTCTTAAGTCCCCTTAAATGTTCAAAAATGTTTTCAATCTAGTAAAATTTCAGCATACAATCACAGATTTAAATATTCAATTACACATTTTTTAAGTTGGTAGCACAAGATTAATCTGTAAGACAATTTTTTCTTAAGCATAGCATGTGCTTAAGTATAGTAATATACACAGAATCTTAAACAAATACTGTGTATTCAATTTTCTTAACACTTATACTTTATTCTAAATCTCCTGGGAAATGAAGACATTACATATGCTAAAGAAACAATTAGGACATCCCAAACATTTTGAGGCTTGCCTTTTCAAGAGAATTTTGGAAGATCACTTTCTCAGGGGGCTGAAGTTGTGGATAGAATACAGATTGTGCCTGGGTAAGACCTGGAGCTACCTGACATTCAGGGGGAGTCTGCCCAACCGCTCTGAAGTCCAGGCTGCATCGCTTTCTATAGTCACCAGGCCAAGAACTCCAAAAGTTAAAGAAGGAGGCAATCATGCAAGTGTTTGCTGATTTTGAGTCAGTTTTAAGTCAATTCACTCTATCTAAGCCTTTCATAACCATCTTATCTCAGTTCTTTCATATGTGAACATGATATCTGATTTAATGTTAGGATCCTTTTGTGCTCTATTTGTAGACAAAAATTATACATTCATTCTATTAAAAAGTTACCAAAGATATTTTCCAGAATTGAGAAGCAGGTAGACTAGATAATTCCTTTGTTTTCTTCCAAATTCATGATTAACACTTTGAGTCAACCAGAGAAAATTATGACCTTCAAAAACCACAAGATAGATAATGGTAGTGACTAAGAAGAGACCCAATGCAAAGAGATGAAGCATACTTTAGGTATCTAGATTTCAAGATGAGAACCAGAGTTGAGAGTAGATACATCTGAATATAGGGAGAGCGTGGGTGAAAGTCATCACTTGGAAGTCTTCCAAATGGTGTGACAGCTCAGGACACATAAAGAATCTCTGGGAGAGGTAGTGAGAAGGAGGAGACCACTTGTAGTCATCAGAATTCAAGAAGAGAAGGAGACCTCTGGAGTTACTCTTCCAAGTCACTGGTCGGAATAGTTCCAGAAAGCAATTTAACTCTCTATAGGAAAAACCATGATACCAATAAGAACCACAAAACTAATTATGTCCTTTGTAAAGGCACTAATTATCTTTTAAGACAACATCTTAATTTAGGCAATAATGTAGAATGTAGGTCAAGATTCATTAGAACTTCTGGCCAAAATGGAGATGTAGGTAGATATGGTTTGCTTCCTTGCACAACCAAAAGAAGGACAACAACTAATTTAAAAACAAACAAAAATACCCAGAACTGCCAGGAAATCAAACTCTAAGGAAGTCTGACAACCAGGGAGCTAAAGAAGAAACATTCATTGAGACTGGTAGGGGGGGCAGAGACAGGCAGCCAAAGTGGAGAGAACTCACGGCAAGGTGGTGGCTGGCAGACCAGGCAGTCCCACATTCGCATGCAGATAAACCAGGAAGAAGAACTGGGGAGCAAGACAGACCATGCAATGCAGTGCTCCAGCACAGGGAACTAAAGTCTCAAAACCTCTTGCTGTAAAAACCTGTGGACGTTGCAGCAGCTGGAGCAACTCCCAGTCTCACAGGAGAGTCTGTTTGCAGGAACCACAGGGTCCTAGAATATAGACAAATCCACCCATCTGGGAATCAGCACCAGAAGGACTCAATTCTCTTGGCAGTAGTGGGAGAAGTGACTGACAGTGGGGTGAGAGACAAGCAAAAAGCATTGCTCCCTCTCCAACCCTTCCCCCACATACAGTGCCACAATACAGCAAAGTGAGTTGCCCTGCCCTGGCAAATACAAAGGGCCCTGCCCCTTACAATGTAACAGGTGTGCTGAGACAAAGAAATATGGCCAAATGAAAGAACAGATCAAAATTCCAGAAAAAGGACTAAGCAATGAGGAGATAGCCAACATATCAGATGCAGAGTTCAAAACATTGGTAATCAGGATGCTCACAGAAATGATTGAGTACAGATGCAAAATAAAGGAAGAAGTGAAGGCTATACAAAGTGAAATAAAGGGAAATATACTGGGAACTAACAGTGAAAGGAAGGGAAGTGGGACTCAAACAAATGATTCGGAGCAGAAGGAAGAAATAAACATTCAACCAGAACAGAATAAAGATACAAGAATTCAAAAAAATGAAGAGAGGATTAGGAACCTCTGGGACAACTTTAAATGTTCCAGCATCCAAATCACAGTGGTGCAGAAGGCGAAGAAAAAGATCAAGAAATTGATAACTTATTTGAACAAATAATGAAGGAAAACTTCCCCAATCTGGTAAAGGAAATAGACATGCAAGTCCAGAAAACTCAGAGTCTCAAAGAAGTTGCACCCAAAGATGAACATACCAAAACACATCATAACTAAATTACCCAAGATTAAAGATAAGGAGAGAATCCTAAAAGCAGCAAGAGAAAAGGAGAGAGTTACATACAAAGGAGTGCTCATAGACTATCAGCTGGTTTCTCAAAAGAAGTCTCATAGGCAAGAAGGGGTTGGAAAGAAGTATTCAAAGTCATGAAAGGCAAGAGAAGTTCAAGTTAAAGGAGTTCGTCATCACCAAGCCCTTATTATAGGAAATGTTAAAGAGACTTACCTAAGAAAAAGATCAAAACTATGAAAAGTTAAATGACAACAAATTTACAATTATCAACAACTGAACCTAAAAAACAAAAACAGAAACAAACTAAGCAAACAACTAGAACAGGAACAGAATCAGAAATGGAGATCACATGGAGGATTATCAGTGGGGGTGGGGAGATTGGGGGAAAGTTACAGGGAATAAGAAGTATAACTGGTAGGTACAACATAGAGAGGGGGAGTTTAAGAATAGTATAGGAAATGGAGAAGCCAAAGAACTTACATATATGACCTATGGACATGAACTAAGGGGGAGAATGCTGGAGGGAGAGGGTACAGGGCAGAGGGGGATAAAGGGGAGGAAAAAATGGGACAACTGTAATAGCATAGTAAATAAAATATACTTAAAATTCATATAGAAAATATCAATATTTGTCAGAGCAAAATATTAGGAAAAATTAAATGTCCAACAGCAGGGGGGATTTTTAAAAAATCCTTAACCAAAGATATGCTTTTATTGATTTTAGAGAAAGAGAAAGTGGGGGAGAGAGGAACATTGATGTGAGAGAGAAAAACATCAATCAGTGGTCTCCCATATGTGCCCCAACCAGGGATGCTGGTGATCAGACAAGCAACCTAGGTATGTGCCCTGACTGTTATCAAACCTGCCACCTTTCAGTGCATGAGATGATGCGCCACGATGCTCCAACCAACTGAGCCACATGGCCAGGGTAGTGTTTTTGTTCATCCCTCAAACTGAATATTAGATATCCATTCAAACTATTCTCAAAAAGTATATTTTCAAAAAATTAATTAAATTGGAATATGCACATGATGTAGTGTTAAATTTAAAGAACAGATATAAAAACTATACTCAATATTATCCCACGATGAATGCTTTTAATTTTAAAGTTATATTTTCTAAGTTAAAAAAAGCACATACTTCTTTTGTAAAAGTGAAAAAAATATTTTTTTAAACTGGAAGGCAACAACACTCCAGTGAAAAACCAAAGTAAAAACATACAAGATCCAGAATGTAAGAAATACTGCCAAAGCACATTTTACTTGTAAGTGACAATAGAAAAAAGACCATTGACTCCATCAGAAAGGGTAAAATAAATTACAATAGCCAAGATTTATTGAGTACATATTATATACCAGACACTGGGTTAAACATGATCTAATTTAGTCTTTAGTGTTATAAGAGAAGTATTATCATTAGTTCTACTTTACCTATGAAGTAACTAAAGTATAGAGAAGTCAAATAATGTTCCCAAGGTCACACGGCATAGTCAATGTTTAAAATTCAAAGAGAATCTTATCGACTATTTGTTATTGCCTGGCTGTTTAGGAAGTATTATTCTGAAAGGGAGAAAAACACTGGATGTTTGTTTGAAAAAGAAGGTAGAGTTAATGATGTTTTTCCCCTCTTTCCAATATTGGGGCATTTGGATATATTTAAAGTCAGTAGAAAAGGAAGCTGCCAAAAAGGACAAATAAAATAAGCATGTTAGACAGGAAGAGTGTTTTTCTTTATATATGTTAAGGATAGCTGGGCTTAGAGCACAGGGGGCTGCTGGCAGTAGAGACAGAGGCAGGGCAGCTCCTTTCAAAAGACCATCCAGCAGCAGCATCTGGAGGATTGCTCGTGACATTTTGGCAAGGGGCTAGTTTGACTGGAAGCAAATCTGACAAAGTGAAAAATAAAGGCATTTAGTGAAAGAGAGCATCAAGGGATAAAGAGTGATAAGGAAGTCTGGACGAGCAACCCTAAGGAACAAGCCAAGTGCTGAGGCCAGGCTGCTGTAGGCACATGGGTGGGATAGACCCACTCTGTGGTTGGCCATTTCCAGGAGTCCTGCGTGGTCTGCAAGTGGAATTCAAGAACCAAGAGAGCCACCCTCACCAGTGAGGCTGCATGGGTGCACCCTGTGAGGTGGGGGAGCTGGGGGCAGAGGGAGTCCGGTGTGGCCAGGGCCAGGTGACTCTGGGGGGCGCAGTTTGTGATTAGAAGAGAAGAGAAGTTGGGAGGTAATGGTTAGGGACGGAGCAGAGATTTGGACCTAGAACTGGTGCCCTTCCTGCTGTTAATACTTGGTGGTTGGTAACCTGAGGTAGAAAAGAGAGATCAGGGTTTCTCGCTAGACAAATGGAGGCTGTTGCGTCTGAGGATAATAGCACAGGGAAAACGAAGTCACCCCCACATTAAGGCAGATTATGTTCTATTCCTGCCAAAAGGTGGAAAGAGGAGTAGGGAGTGGGAGGTTTGGGAGAAGAGAATAGGACCAGGACAAAGGCGAGCTCATCAATTGTTGAGCCTTGAAGATAATGAAGGAAGAGCTCGGGGGAGGGTGGGGTGGAATTGGCTCTTGGGAACAAGGAGAAGGATGACCCCTCCCGCTTCCCTCACGAGAATGGTGAGAGGCTTCTGCCTCAATATGCTCTATAAATATTAACCCTACACCCATTTTACAGATAAGGAAATTGCGACTTAGACAGGTTAGGCAACTTGCCAAAGGATTCTGTGTTTGTACATGATGGAGCAGGGATTTAACCCAGACATTCTAGCTCTAGAGCTCTCAAATGTTCCCAGGAGTAAATCCTGGTGAAGCTCCCACACAGGAGAGGTAGGAACTGCCTCCCACAGAGTGGTAGAGAAAATAGTCTGAGATTCACAAATGTAGCTCTTGCTCCAGTCCAACTATGAAGCCTTGCTGATGAGTGTGGGAGAATACCAGTGGATAAAGAAGGAAGGAGAATCCCAGTGGGTTTCGTGGGCTCAAGGGTGAAGATGTGAAAAAGAAGAAAAAGTTGAGAAGGGCTAAGTCTCTCCAAAGTCATCATGTCTTGTCAGTCACATTGACCTGATGCTTCAGTCTCAGGAGAGGCAGATGATAACATCAGAACCCAGTACTGCAGGGGTTACTCCCAGATCGGTGGTTAGTTTACCACACAGCTAGCAGAACAAGCACTGGGTGACCTAACTACACTGTGCTCCCTTTGTCCTCTGGATGACTGGCAGAGGATTGAGGGACCCCTCCAGCAGGGGAGATGAGACACTGCTACGGCATTTCAAGACCCTGATTCTGTCTTCTCTTCTCACCCAGGGAAGAGCCCTCATAAACAGAACTACCAAACACTGTCTGGAAATAAAGAAGGACACCAGGTTTTTACATGCCTGTGCCCCAGACCTATACCACGCAAGTGTGGACAATTCAGCATACTGTCCAAAACTGGGGGTCCAGCTAACATCTTCTCCGGTCCTGGTTGGGGGAGGAGTAAGGAGATTACAATGCTTCATTCCCAGCTTCCCTTTGAAGATCATGATGTATATATCAATGCCATTCTTGGAAACTCCTTGGAACAGCCACGATCATCTGGCTGCCTGGCCAATGCTGTTTAGTCTTCATCCCTGACAACTACTATCACATGCTTCCTCCCAGCTCATTTGCTCAGAGACTCTCCACTGCCTTGGGGCTGCCACATTGAAGAGGCCGGGTCATCATCTTCTGGGGACAGCGAGACAACTATTCAGGCCACCGATTCTTTGAAGGTGTGTTGCTGCTCCTACTCTCTCTTTCTAGGTTGTCCTTAAAGGCACAACAAATACACAATAATCTAAAAAAAAAATCTCCATTTAACCACTCACAGTAGTTTTATTTGGATTATCCAACCTCGCCCTTACCAACACAGGTTCCATAGGTTGAGAATAGGAGAGAATATACCTCAGCTAATCATAGCTCTGTATGGAAGCAGATAAATGTTAAGCAAATGTGTATCTTCTAGCTTCTGCCTAGCAAATTGAAGGGAAAATACAATTCATAGAAAATGGTAGAAATATCCAAGCTATCTGAATCTTTCTCAAAGTAGCTTATAATATTTAATAGGCTTGATTACCCATTTTCTTCTACAATCCCTGCAAATGGAGAAAATAAGGCTTGAAACAGTGGGGCATCACTTATTGGGACACAAAGGAGAGATTGTAGGAAAAACTTGAAACCAAGGCTCCTGTTGCTGTCCAATGGGTAAATAAATCATTTCCCCTGGCTGATGAGGTGGGAAGACACAGCCAGGGCAGCCAATTTTGGCGAGGTCTTAGAAGATGGGTGTGGGCACCATGAAGGGTGGAAAGGTAGGATGACTGTGTGTGTGTGTTTGTGTTGTTATGCGGGCTCAGCTTTCAAGTGTGAGCTTATGGGGCCTCTTCTTCAGGGGGTCACTTTTTCCCCTTTGTCTCACATCAGAGCTACTTGTGTATGACTCTGGGAATCATTAGGCTTACTTTAGGCAACTGGCAAGCAAGGCTGTTACTTTAGCACAGAGTTAAACTGGCTAAGAATTTTTAAAATAAGCTTTTATAAGTGTACAAGTCATACGTGTACAGCTTGAGAAAATTTTCACTGTGAACACCATCCATATCAAAAACTAAAACCTTGCCACAGATAAGATTTTATCATGACAAGTTTACAGGACAGGATAAATGTTAAGCAAATGTATAACTTCTAGCTTCTGATTAGCAAATTGAATGGAAAATGCAATTCATAGCAAAGTTTTTTAAAAAGCTTGTATCCGATAGACAATGGACAAAAAACACAATATCTTAAACATATGGAAAAATGTTTAATGTTGCTTATAATTAGAGAAATGCAAATTAAAATTGTACTGAGATTGTTTTTCACTTAAATAGGTGAAAATTAAAAAGCGTGACAGCACATCCCATTGACAAGGTTATGGGAAACAGGCAACCTCATATTTTGATGGCAAGGATGCAAACTCATACAATCCTTTTGGAGAGGTATTTGGCAATATCTAAAAAGATTATACATGCATTTTCGATTTGTGCCAATAATTCCTCTTTTAGGAATTTACATCTCTAAAATTAAGAAAATACTTATGTACAGAGTAATTATTTGTATTCATGATAAATGTTAGAAACAAAATATATGTTCAAGTGCCAGGGAATGGTTGACTACATCAACACAATGGAGTACTATGCAGCTGTAAAAAGCAGTAGGAATATTTCTTTACACTAATATGGACTGATTTCCATAGTAAAAAGGAAAAATGGCATCTATAGTATGTACCTTGTAGGTAAGAAATCAGGAAAAAATGCACATGCATCAGCTTATTTCTTCAAAATGAAACATAAAGATAAACCAGAAACTAAGGAGATTGGTTACTGATGGGTAGTGTTTGAGGGTAGAGTGGGAAGGACTAGGGACAGGAACAGGATAGAAGGGCTGTAGGGGGAGTGAGACTTCTCAAAATGTGCTCTCCCCCCATAATTTAGACTTTTAGAACCATGTTATATTTCATATGCTCAAATACAAAATGGAGTACAAACAAACACAAGTGAACCTAACTCTATTTCTCTAGTTTAAATGAAGACACATCCACTCTAAGCACTCTCAGCATCCAGCCTCCAGATCCTCAGTTTCTAAATATTTTCCAGGAAAAGGAATTAGGGCTCCTTGGAGAAATCGCTGACTTCAGCGTTGGGGGGCTGGAACACCTTCCTATGTTAGAAAACAATAAACTACATGTCACAATTTATAGCATCTAGGTTCAAGGGGCTCCCACTGGTCAAATCTTAGGCGATTTGAGCATTAAAATAATGATTTTTATTAAATAGATTATAAACCATACAATAAAATAAGAATCCATGAGATTATACAAATGAATGCATGGATGCATGGGTGAATGAACAAATGAGTAAAGAAGAAGAAAAGAAAGCTCTTCTTTATGGCAAAATACCAACTAAAATTGTGATTAGAATTATGGATTTAGAAAATTGTTTGGCAACCCACAAAATTAAAGTTGTTTCAGGCAAGAATCTTCAATGGATGTTAAAGCTAATGGGTGGTGAGAAACAGGATACATACACAGCATCAAAGTAACTTTCCAGAAGATATTTATTAACTACAAAGAAAACAATAGTAATTTCATGGTGGAGAAACCTGGCAGGCACCATCTTAACTAAGTGATCAATGTTAACACCACTAGTTACTGAACAAATGGATATCATGTGCCTCCTGATATGCTTTACCCAGAAGAATACATCATTTCTATGGTATTCCTGGCCAAAATACAGAACTTGAATCTATAATCTTGAGGTAACATTAATTAAACCCAAATTGAGGGAATATTCTTCAAAATAAATGGTCAAAATCATAAAAGACAAAGATTGAGGGACTGCCCCAGAATAGAGGGGACTAAAGAGACACGGCAACTAAATAGAATGTGTGATCCTGGATTGGAATCTGGGCCTGAGGGGACATTCCTTTTTCTTTGGTTATAAAGGACAGCAGTGGGCAACTGGTGAAATTTAAATAAGGCTCATTGATTAGATACTAGTTCTATATTAATGTGATTTTCCTGATGTGGATCCTTGTACTCCAGCTATATAAGAATGATTTTATGAAATACCCACTGGAAGATGGACTGGGGGAGGCATTCTCTCTGAGATTCTATCTGTATGTATTGATAGATAGACAGATAGAATGACAGAGCAGGGGATGGATGGATGGATGGGCGAACAAATGAACAGATGGGTGACAACGATGGAGCAGATAGTCAGAACAAAAAATAATAAAACAAATGTGGTAAAATGAATCTGGATAAAAGGTAAAGGATATACAAGAATTCTCTGTACGGCGTTGGCAACTTTTCTGTAAGTCTGAAATTGTTTCAAAATAAAAAGATTTAAAACATACTCAAACAAAAAAGTCTATCTACATTAACTATTTCTTCCTGCTAAACTGCATTTGTAAGCAATGCTGCTTTATCTAACTTGGGTGTGTTTCTTATTCTTTGAAGGAAACCTGTAATTCTCTCTCACTCGTAGTTTGGATGACAGAATGAAGCGGGCTCCCCAATATTCCCCGAGGTTCTCAGCTTCCTCCAGCTGCTCTGCTCTGTGGGCTGCCTGTCAGTTAAGAAATGATGGTGTTGATTTGCTTCTTTGGCCCTGAAACCACCTATCTACCTGTCCAAAGTTCTGCATGAAATTCTGCTTCTCTGCTCGCTGTCTGCAACCAGCCTTCATTGGTCAGAACACTGTGAAGGTCATCTCAGTGACTATCTTTAGTGCAGTCAGGAGACCGTTCCCTTGGTAACCAAGTTCATTTTTCACTGATTCCTCTCTGTCTCTCATTTTTGGGAATGTTGGAGCTCCACTACAAGTTAAAGATATAAACAACAGAAATATACAAGGCATCATACAACCCCAACAGAGAAGTAATTCTGCAATCGCCCCATGAGTGGGATCTCTGGAACTGTGGTCCTGCCAGTTCCTGTTCTCTGCTCAGTGATAATCCGGGGGTGTCTCACAGTGTCCATTATTCTCCCCATCCCCCATCGCCTCAGGGTTTCTTCATGGTCATCCCTGATTGACCCCTCACGTGGCCGTGTGGAGAAGCCACACCTACAAGCATCCTGAAGGAACCACACTGCATGGTGACCAGATGCTCCTCTCAGCCCTCAGGTGCCAGGCTTCTTTCCTCTTTTCATGCCGTCTGTCCAAACTAAAGGTACAAAGCAGCGGTGCTTGACCCCCTCAAGTTCCCACACAACCCTAGGGGTACAGCTTGGCTTTGCCCCTCTCTTTATTGCAGCTGCACCCTCGGATTCTGGCCCTTTTCCAAGGACACATGGGCCTGGCGACGGCAGTCCTGCCATCACGACGTGGTTGTCCCTGTCCTCCAGGCCCTAAGCATCACCCGCAGCAGGACTGAGTGACCCAGTGCCTTCTCTCGGGCGAGCAGTTTCCTCATCTGGGTAAAACCTAAGAGTGCTGAGTCATAATGAGATTCCAGCAGTTTTAAAGTTAATCTTTGACAGAGTCCCTTTATTTTACTTCTTGTTAATCCATTTTGACAATAGGAAGTGTGCTTTTAACTAATTTTCAAAATGTGTAAAGTCTTTTTAAAGAGATTACGTTAACTGGAGTTAGGTTAGTAATGTCTTGGTAATTATCACAAGATTTGTTGGATAAAATCAACTTCTCATGACTCTAAGCTGTTAAGTTTTAATTTTAACGAAAGCAGTTTACTCTTGCAACCATTTTGACAAATGCAGTTTCAAGGACCAAACTTGTCTCAAGATTACAAAGTTATTCTCCTCGGATTGATAACAACCAAATTTTCTTAGTACTATCAGAAAGTTGCTTGGCCACCTTAACAAGAAGACCTAGGCAGATACTCAAATTTTTCACATTAAGAAATAGGCTCAGTTTTAACTTTTGTTCTCTC